GGGACATGCAAACAGCAAGCATTGCCAAGAGATTTGTCATGCCATTTTGACAAGCATCTCAACTCATGCTACAGGAGCTGAGGTTTACGCAACTTGTTTCTTGTTTTAAGTGTACTATGTCATCTCAGCTGTTCAGGATCTAACATTTAAATAATCTGCTCACACAAATCTAAGATACCATAGTAGTGTAGGTCAGTGAGCAGAATATACAGTTGATAGATTTCAGTTTGAGATTACACAATCTTTGTACCTATTAATGCTTTAAGTTTAGCTGTAGAACCTGCTTTTCAAGTAATTTGTTCTGTATAATAAGAACACCTACATATCTATAGCTAGACACACACATATATACACATACAGAGGCATATATGTCTTAATGTATTTATTTTAAAAAGAATGAGCATGCACATATAATGCTTTACTAGCAATCAAATCATTTGCATATATTTAATGCAGCAATAACAACCCCATGAAATCATCATCATCATCATCCTCAAATTTCAGACTGAGGCTAGGCTGAGAAATAAATTCCAAATAGGATGTGACAGATGCAGGTATGTTGGTTCATTCTGATATATGGCTCTTTCACATTTACATTTTGGTGATTTAAAAAAAATAAAAAATAACTGCAAGAAAATTCTTACCTATTCCCATTCTGTACTAGAACTCTCTTTTTCAATCTGAGCATTTAAGGACAAATGTAGCTCAAATGAATACACACATATACTTTACTTCCATGCTTCCACATTGGGGACTTGTATTATTATCACTTGACAGGGGGGATTTAAAGATGCAATAGCAATTTGTTGTTGCTTTGGGCACTGGAGGGTCCCATTTCCCCTACCCTTTATGGACACTCATAGGAAAGATGGGGGATATTAATTTCAATAGCAGACACTTAATCTACTCCAGCTCCAGATCTTGCACAGATCTGCTATTGGTGTGTATGTATCCACTACCTCTCCCACCACATGCCCTTAGAATGCTTCTTCCTTACGACCCTGTCATCAGAGTTTCATTTCATCTATTACATTTCTATACTGCCTATTAGCTGAAACTGTCTGGATAATTTGCAGTGATTAAAAACCTTAGAAATACATTACGCATAGTATAAAAACCTTTTACATAAAAACACATAAACTGACAGCACACATATTAAATGATGTTTTAAGCGATCAGAAAAATCTTGATTTGAACCTCATCATATGCTGCCGCATCATGTGCTGCCATATTATAGTTCTGATGTCTGAGAAACTTCTGCCATGAAAGATGACTGAGGAGGGGAGATAGAAACATAGACCAAAGATCCACGTAGTCCAGCATTCTGTACACTTGGTGGCAACCAGTTGTTCACAAGATTGCTCAAGTAGGATGGGTGTAAGACCTTTGCTTTGCCCATTCTCTTTGTCGACTGTTATGTGGAGGCATGTCACCTCTAATAAAGCAGGCAGCATATGTCAGGTAATAATGGTAGCCACAAATAGTCTCTACTTCCATGAATCTGTTTTTTTAAAGTCTTCCAGATTTGTGACCATTCTTATTTCCTGTGATGGTGCATGCCATAATTTTACTATAGATTGTGTGAAGTACTTTTTCGTGTCTGTCCAAATCCTTCCCCCAATAAGTTGCATAGGATGACCCCAGGTTTGAATGTTTTGGGATCCTTCTCCATTTTTTCCATTCTGTGCATAATTTTAAACACTTCAATCTTGTCCTTCCTTACTTGCCTTTTTTTTCTAAATGATGCGTAAAGTTAGAGAAAGAGCCCTATATCTTCCCACTTTTGGGACTTTTTCTGTCTAAACATCAAACATGAAAAGGATTCTGTTCTTAGTTGATTCCCTTTATTTATTTTCTTCTCATGCTTTTCAGCTTCCTATAATTTCCTAATCTTGTGTAGGTAATCTATAGACATACAAACTGCCACAATTTCTAAAAAGAGAAGTTCCACATAACAAATGTTCCTAGAGAAGTCCCAGTTCCACTGCTCTCTCCATCCTCTCACACTTACTAAATTTCTATGCAGCCCCAATGGCAAATATCTTTGGGAGTCTTTACTGTTGCTTAAAACTCAAAGCAGCTATAACAGCAGAAACAATAACAGAAAGGATGAAAATATTAAAATACTAAAAGCATTAAAATATTAAAGAGGGAGCAGCAAAATTGGTAATAAAAATAAATGGAAAATCTTAGTAGATTTTCACAGGAAGAGCATCTGTGACCCCGCTTCTTTACTAAGGGGGGCATTACTGAGAAGGCTCTTTCCCCGGTACCTCCCTGTTGACCCATTGTGGGTGGCAGGACACAGAGAAGAGCCTTCAAAATGTATTGTAATGGTTGGGCAGAAACATGGGAGAAAATGCTTCCTCAGATTCATTGGTTCTAAGCCATGTAGAGTTTAAAGTTCAGCATAAGTGCTTAGACACTAATTGACAACCAGTGCAGTTGATGGAGCGCCGAAATAATATGCCTGAAACAGACTGACCCAGTAAGCAGCTTTGCTGCTGTTCCATACTAACTGAAGTTTCCAGACCATCTTTACTAGCAAGCCACACATCATGCACTGCAATAATCCAGGCAGGAATTTACCAGTGTATTGATAACTGCAGCCAGGCTCTCTGAGACCAGGTTAGGCCATAGCTGAAGCTGATAAAATGCACTTCGGACCAGCAATACTTTGTCTCAAGGAACTTAATGCAAGGTCATCGTAAATGGATTCTCTGTGTCCTTTTGAAAGTTAAAAGGCTAATATTATACCACTGGAAGGGCAAACAGTTATCTTCAATAACACAGTTGGTGGATGACAAGTAAACTTTCAGTTTTTGAACAGATGGGTTTTAGGCATAATTTATGAATGGACTAGTACACAGCCATTTGAGATGCCTTTGATGAAGTCTATGAAGAATTACCTTAAATAATAGTATTTCTTGCCATACACAAATATTTAGGGGTATATTTATTTGTTCTGTATTTTTTGTTTGTTTTGTGTTACTGGTTTTTATGGTGTTTTTATTGTATTTTTATCTTATGGTTGTGAGCTGACCAGAGGTGCTGAGGCACAATTACATGGCATATAAATGTTTTAAATTACATACACACATACATACATAGTACACAAATATTCAATGCAAAAGAATTACTCAAATCTCATGTAAGAAATTAACATTTTATTTTCCCTTTTTTGGTTTAGGTTTTGAAATTAACAACAAAATCATTTAACAAACCAACAACACTACATAGCAGGATTGAGAAGGCCCCACAGATAAAGTGTACATAAAGTGTACATTGGATTTCAGCACCTAAGTAAGATTAATACCCAAGCTGGGCTGCAGTTGGCCTGCAGTTTCTCAGCAGTGATGGGAGCAAGAACCACACTCTTGTGTCCCATTGCTGGGTCTTACACATACATACATACATACATACATACATACATATAGGATTGTAGCTGAACAGTCTGATTTAGGCCTCTTATGCCCCCCTTACCTCTTTCTGGGCAGTGTTCCGGATAAGTCATGACCGTGGTTGGTAATTAAAGAATCAGTCACCTCACCCTATCCCAGATCTACTCCTTGGTGGGGCTGCAGACCCTAATCAGCTTAATTGTCTGCATCATGCCCTACAGTGCAATGCAAATGTTTTTCTTTCAGTATCAAGGATTAATGGATAGAGCCAAATGATAGCAACCTTCTACTACTGATTGCTCACTTCTAGAAGGCTCCCGCTCCCCACACTGAGCCTTTCTACAAGAGCCTTTAAGCTGGTGCACCTACTTTCTGCTTTGTTACAGAACTGAAATCCAAACACTACAGGAGCAGCTTTCAAGTATATAATCTATACGTGGCACTTAAAGCAAAAATACACAAGAGGAAATCATTCTTGCTTTCACCACCAGAAACACCTGACTTTCCCTGCGCCAAAACAAACCAACTAACCTCACAGAAAGTGGTCTTTAAAAGCAGAAGCGAAATAAGGAGGTTCACACACCAGCTGAAGGATCTATACACAGCAGTGAGGAGGTTATGACACCTGCACAACAGATGCCACGTGTGAGCTTTTGCTCACATTCCTCCTCACAGCTAGAAGAAAAGATGCTGTTGCCTGTTGGTGCTCCTTTGAGAAGATGCCAGCTCTGTTTACTCTCTCATCTTCTCTCCCTGGTTGAGCCCAATCCATCCTCCACTTTATCCAGAGGCAGAATGAAGGAAAGAAACTAGAAGGTCCATGTCCCACTGAAGGTCTCCAAATGACATCCCGAGAGCTAATGAGGATGTTGGAAGCAAACTCCAGTGTATTCCAGCTGATGCTGCGGTGTTATGATTTAAGTGAGTTTAAAATGCAACTTCGCACATGCTCAGAGAATCTCAGGGATGGCAAACAGTTGTGATGCTCTTATTCTAACCTATAAAGAATGCTGAAACCATTGTAAAGCATGAAATGACGGTGTGGAAAACGGGGAAGACTGCAAAGGTTACTTGGTTTGATGCACAGCCGGAGTAATGCATCTAAGGAAGTCGGAAGCGGAACAAGCTCATTCAGTCCAGAGTCTGCAATGACCAGCTGCACCCCTGTACCATCCCTCCTCATCAAGCCACCGCTACTGTCGTTCGCTTTCCCTCAAAGTGAAAGGGACCGCGTTCAGCACGCTACTGCTCCTTCGCCCGTCTCTCAGCCGAGGCTGCAATCCTGCACCTCCGACCTGGTCCAAGTCCCACTGAACTTGACAAGACTTATTTCCGAGAAGGCACATATGACGAAGCGCTTGCGAGCAGTCAGAAAGGAAAGCGGTGTAGAGCAATGGGAGGAGCCGAAAGACATTCCAGGGCCGGGCAGGCTTGGTTGAGGCGGGCGCCGGCGCGTACGCCAGTAAGGGAACGGCAGACAACGCGCCGGGCCTGAGCGCGCCCTCTTCTTTCCCAGGGCTGCTGCTGCTGCTTCTTGCCTGGGCGGTGCGTCACGTCACGGCTGCGCTGAGCCGGAGTGTCGGCCTTCCCGCTCCCCGCCCCGCCCTTGCCTCTTCCTGCGGCCGCCCGTGTTTGCTCCGGTCCGGCGCCCGCCCGCCGCCTTCCAGCGACCCCTCCCCGCCCGTTGCCAGCGCCGTCTCCTTCTGAGCTCCCTCAGGCCGGCGGGGAGGGAAGCCCAAGTCACGGAGGGGCCATGACTGTGGAGCAGAATGTGCTGCAGCAGAGCAACTCCCAGAAGGTAAGAGAGAGTCTGCCCGGGTAGGAGGAAGAGGAGGAGGTGGAGGGGAGAGGACAGTAAGCCGCCCCGTTCAGGCCGCTGCGGAAGGCTTTCTCGCGGCGGGTTGCTCCGCCACGCCACGCCACGCCGGGGCCTGGCTTTCCAGAGCGGCCAAGGAGCCGAGGCGGGTCCGCGTCCTCCCTCTTCTGCCGCCTCTGTGACCTTTGCGTAGGGAGAGAGGGAAGAGCGCGGGCTTGGCAGCTCCGCCCGACATGGCTAGGGAAGGGGGTGCTGGCGGGTGCTTGTTAAGCAGTTCGGAGTCGCACTCCCTTTCTGTCAACGTTATTTAGGTCTCCTGACCTCATCCCGCCTTGCTACCTTCCCCTCCTGTTCTTAATGTCTTCCTGCTTACCTTGTCGAAGAAGTGCCCACAGTGTGTACGAGTGTGTGCTGGAGGGAAATGCCCAGCGTTTCTATACCCAGTTGGCCTTTACTACTCCGCCACTTTATTTTTAAACAGAGGAATTGACGTCTTCATCCTCTCACAGTTCTTGTCTTCCTAGACACACGTCTGTTCTGACCATGCCAGCTTCCCAGGCAGTTCTGTGATAGTCTTAGTAAACAAACATATCAGGATTACCTCCTTAAAAATGTATCGAGCGCTGTGGTTTAAGGCTGTCAAGAGAAATAAGTAGTGTTTATCCTTGAAGATTATGAGTCCAGAGGTGAAGCCTGCCCCCTTTTTTGTGTGTCTTTTGAAGCTACTAGGTAGTAGCTGAAATTGTTACATGGTGTACTGTGGTTGGACACAGGAATACTTAGACTAAATTTGCCAGGAGAGAATAAAGTTTAGAGGCTTTGCTATCAGTAACCATATTAATAGGTAGGTATGTTAATACATTTCAACTGAATTATCTACTTGCTGTGAGGTTAGGACTCCTACTTTTGTGGAAGAATTAGCTCATGTATGTATACAGTTGGATGATTTCTGGAGATTTGCCCCAAATAAATAGATTGTCCTCAACTGTCTGTGTGCAGAAGTTGTTGTTTATAAAACTTTGAAGGAATTTTGAAATAAAGTGCAAAACCTGAATGTGTGGGAAAGGCAGCATCACTCCTAGACTGGGTAGTGTATTTCAGTCCAGCTATTCACCAAGGAAGAGAGAGTGGTTTACAAGGTTTTGCTCTCCTTCCTATTTTACTTCTACTTTAAAATCCCTGGTTAAGCAAAGAGATGATGACTATCCCAAGGTCATCCAGTGCATTTTATTGCTGAGTAGAGGGTTAAATCTAAGTCTCTGAGTCTAAGCTCAATACCCTATCAGCTATATCACGGTATGGAATTAAACTGTTCATTTTAAACATAAGTATAGTTAGACAAAAAAAATGTTGGTGAGTCAGGTATCATAATCTGGGATAGTATGGAATCTTTCTACTTTAACATTCCATTTGACTCATAAGTGTGTGTGTGTGGCTACTAAAAATGTGTACTGAGTGTTTTCAATTGATACGATATGAATGAGAAGTTCCAGTTAGGCTTGCAGAGACATACATCCAGCAATCCGACTGAAGCTGTTGTGTGTTACTAAATCAATAACTTCACTATCCTGACTGCTCTTTTTCCATGTATTCTCTTGCTACGTTCTTTTCCAAATCCTGTCCTGTTGTATCTGTTCCTAATGCCTTCAAACATGTCTAACAAAGTACAAGATTTACAGTAAGCAGTTCCTGTGTATTCATAAGCTATAGAAATGGCAGTCGTCTACTTCTCCAGTAATTTCTCTAGTGAAGTAATTCACTTTTCTGCTCTTTACCTTTGTTCTATTAGTGCTTCAACAGGGTTTTAATGACAGCTGCTCCTCTTTGTATCATTGACAAAAAAGTGGATGGTAGTTTTGTCTCATATTCCTATGCATTGTGTAAGAAAATAGTGAAATCGCAACTTATCCGTTTGGAATTGAGAAAGTCAGAGATAGTTACTCTATTTTTCAAGAACACTTGTGCAAACTGTGGCTAAGAGATTGTTCAGAGATTTTTTTTAGAAAACAGGTATGCTTAACACCAAACTGCTGTTTATACATTGGAACCCCATAATGTTATTTCTCTATAGTGCTAGAAGGAAGCTGGCCATAGGAATACACAACTTTTTTTGTTAAGATATGCTATTGTGGCAAAGTTTGATATCTTGCAGTATGATTTATCCATTTGAAGCTATACATTTTCCTTCCAAATTCTCTTAAATTCTCTTGAATGTTGGTGTAAGTATCTATCCTGTAGTCTTGCTCTTATTTATTTCTTGGGCGAATTTGTGCAGGGAAGGCTATCAGTGGCTACTAGGCTCATTGACTATATGCTGCCTTCCTTATAAGCAGTGGCATGTCTGCATATACCAGTTGCTGAGGAGCTTGAGCAGCAGAACTCATGGGCCCATCCTGCTTGATGGGATCCAGTGGGCCACAGGTTTGCCACTGTATGGCTAGAGTGGTGGACTGGATGGACCATTGGTCTGATCCAGCATGGCTTTTCTTAAGTTCTTATTTATATTTCTATCCTGCCTTTTTTCCTGCAATGAACGGAAGGTGACTTAGATAATCCTCTACTCCATTTTATCCTTATAACAGCCCTATGAGATAGGTTAAGAGCTAGTAATTGATTCAGAGTCTCTCAGAGAGCTTCATAGGCAAGTGAATAATAGAACCTGCATCTCCTGAGTCTTAGTCTAGCACTCTAACAACTTTGCCACAATGGCTATCATTTTTTAAAATGTAATTTATAAAAATAAAAATTATAGTTTACTACTACTATTAGTGCAAAAGCAGAGTTTCCAACTCTTGCCAGTCACGTAAGTCTTTAAAAAGTGCTTTCCCTTGTATGAGAACATAAACAGCTTTGACTAAGCTTTTCCCTAGTAAACTCCAACAGAAGAATGTTGTTAGATATGTATTGCTACTGGTGTCAATGTATCTTTTAAATGTAAATTTCAGTCAGCACATACATTTTTATGAAGGAGTGGTTGCTTAGATGATAGGATTATCACCATGAGAACTGCAGTTCTATAATATATGCTTTCCCTTTTCATAAGCTAAAAAGCTTTGCTGTATAGCCTGTTGTATAGAAACTCCTAACTTGTATAGAAAATTTTAAGGAACTGGCAATATACTAAGGCTGCAATCTTGTATATAGCTACCTATGAGTAAGTCCCATTGAACTCGGTGTAACTTATTTCTGAGTAGATGTGCATAGGATTTCACAGCAAGTGGTCTTCTACTACTAAGTATGAGGTAAAATCTAGAAAGAGTGCTGTGTGTATAGCATAATATGTGAAGTATCCTGTATAAAACTGGCCTGTAGGAACTGTAATTCCTATGGGAGTGACAGCATTGTTGAGTTGTTTTTCTTGAGGATGTGTAAGTGCAGATTTGAGACCTGTCCAGCTATTTCATGATGATCATAAGATGTTATACAGTAAGTGGTGATAAATCTATTATTAGAAGTAATGTTTGTTTGAAGCAGTGTTTGCTCTTGTATGCATATTTCATTGTATCACCTAGGAATCTGCCAAAGACTTAGGAGTCTTCTGCCAGGTGCCATTCAATAAGTTAAAGTCTGTTAAAATGTATTAGGTGTCTTGTGTGCAAGGAGCAGTGATAGAATTCAACAATGTAAGCAGCTTGAACTAATACTAAAGTAGGAGTCATACAGTTTGCAATTTGATAGATTTGAATTGAGGATTGTTAGGAGATCCCATCTTATCTTGAAGTCCTGTCAAATGTAGTACTGTCTCTGGACATGTTTCCCTAATGGGACATGTTTTCCTAATGATGCTTTTCAGTCAGCTGTGATGATCCTTGGCAGCAGTTGCCACTTCGGTTGCTCTATTTGGGCAGTCTGAGAAGGCATCTATCTACCATGGCTTGTCTCACCCTCTGACTGTCATGCTGCATGCCCTGAAAGGAGGGAGTAATTGGCAGCTATAGCCTGAATGGGGCAGTTGGGATGGTTACATAGCCATGCAATTGCCTTGTTTTGCACAGTGGGGTTGATAATGGTCCCTTCTGAGCCGCCATTGACAGGTGTTTGACTCCAGGCATGTTTTGTTCTGTATGACATGTTAACAGTTGAATCACACATGCAGGATTCTCATGTTGAGGGTGGTGTGTGTGTGTGTACGTGCGCGCGCGTGTGAGTGAGTGAGTGAGGGAGGGAAGATGGGCACTCAGTATCCCTTAAAAAGTACCAATAAGGGTCTCTTATACCACCCTTCTCTATTTTGTACATGTTGTTAAATCTTGAGAATGTGCATACATAATAATCAGTTATTTAGTGTGTAATTAATGGCTTTGTTAGTATAATTATTGAACTTGTTAAAAGCACATGCCCTTCCTTGCTTGTAGTGAGCACAGTGGCTGTGATGCATACTGTTACTGTATTCTCTGAAAATATTTCTTAAAAAGTCAAATACTTTGATATCTGAAGGATTTAAATATTCCATTACATAATGTACAACATAGTTCTTTTAGAGATTGCATAATGTTGCCTTTGTTGATTCATATAATCTGTGTTTTATTATCTGTGAATGGATTTCATAGGATAAGAGTGCATTTCTCTTATTACTGTTCTTTCATGTTCTACTTATTGCAACTGCTAAAGATGCTTAAAAACACAAATTGTGACTTGTTGAGCAAATATGCAACAGAAGATGTTTGATTATTTTAAAATTCTTGAATTATTCAGCATTTCAAAAGTTAAAATCTCTTCCAAGACCTCCTTAACTTTCTAATGTGAAAAAATGTAAAGCGGATGATGAACAGTAGATTTGTACAGTGGTACCTTGGCTCACGAACTTAATGTATTCCAGGACTCTGGTCGTGACCCAAATTGGTTGTGAGCCAAGTCATATTTCTCCAAGAGGGTCAATGTAAATAAGGTTAATCTGTTCTGCAACTATTTTTTTAACTTACAAAAATTTGAAGCAAAGTGACAAAGAACAACAAAGATCGCGGCCATCTCCCCCCCCCCCCGCCCGAGCGACTGTGATCGTGCCTGTGCAGGGCAGGCGGCAGACATGCTCACGATCATCACCCAATGCAGAGTTCGTGACCTGCAGCAAAATTTTTATGAAATTTCTGTTCGCAACCTGATTTGGTTGTAAACTGAGGCATTCATGAGCCGAGGTACCACTGTATATCTGAAACAGACTGTAATAATTATGTTCTTACATCTTCATACTATACTACTTCAGAATTAGGAATATAAGTTTTTGTATAGATATTCACCTCTTTTTGTAGGATTATGTGTATCTTTGCATATTTGATGTATATTTACTATATTTTACAATAATCACAAGTAAGCATGCCACTGAACATTGCTAAGTGTCTGTGGCATCACTCGTTCTGGAACAACTAAAATAGGCTGGATGGAAAAACTTAATGTTGAATTTGAACTGGGACTCCTGGCTTGTTGCTGGGAATTTAATCTGGCTTCCAGATCTAGAGAAAGGACAAGCCAGTGTTTGGTTCTAATGGTAAATATCTGTGTCTATGTTTGCAGGAGGAGCCAAGTGGAAATTATTAGGCAGCATGCATCAACACACTTGATCATAAATTTTGAGGAATTTTGGCTTAGCATCCTGTGCAAACTGCTGTCTTGATACCTACTTAGCATTTTGATGCACCGAGTGCTTGCTAAGTTTCAAGCAAGTCCAAGAGAAACTGGGCACATGATAGAAGAGGCAATACACATCCAGAAAGAAATGTTTTTCAGCAGTTTTCATCATTTACTGGTATGTCTTCCTCTGGTATTCTCTGGAAGTCCTTTGCAAGGGGAAGAGTAGTATGCAAATATAGTACTTCTGGCTCTAGTACTGATGTGGTTAAGCTTTAGCAGGAAACATGATGATATGGTCTCTCTCCTCACAGCTGCATGGAGCACCTAGGGAAATCTCACAGAGGTCAAAAAAGGGTGTTCTGGTGGGTCAGGGAAGACAAAATCCTATTAGCCCTTCAACTTCAGCAATGCTACTTCTTTAGACTGGTGTAGAAGCATAAGTAAAGGTTTTCCCTTGACGTTACATCCAGTCATGTCTGACTCTAGGGGGTGGTGCTCATCTCTGTTTCCTAGCCGAGGGCGCCAGTGTTTGCAGACAGTCTCCGTGGTCATGTGGCCGGCATGACTAAACACCGAAGTGCAAAGTGGTACCTTTTTATCTACTTGCATTTGCACGCTTTTGAACTGCAAGGTTGGCAGGAGCTGGGATGGAGCAACAGGAACTCACCCCATTGTGCAGATTCGAACCGGCGACCTTTTGATCAACCAGCCCAGCGGATTAAACCGCTGCGCCACCTGCAGTCCCTCTAGGCAGAAGCATACCTAGAGGTAAAAAGACAGTCAGAGGGGTGAAAATTGTCTCTATTGTAAATCCCACTTTGCAGGTAGCAGCACAGCAGGATTGAATACTCAGAGGCTTCCCTTTAGCTTGTGTCAACCTGACAGAGTTGAACCCTGATGCTAAGAAATACTGATTGTGAGCAGTCTGAACTCCACATAATTATATTCTCCTGCAATTATTTCTCTAAGACTATAACAATAAACATACTAGTATGTGGCATTGAGCATGGTGGAACTTGACTTTTGTATAAATCAGTTCATCAGGCTGAAGATGTTTAATAAACCAAACTGTATGCCATGAAACCAAGATAGGTTATTCTTCTAAGACATATTCCACTTTTCAAGACATCCCTTGGCTTAGAAAAATGGATCCTGCAACATTGTAAAGATTCAATATTCTGAAGCCATACACTTTTTGCAATATAGGATGTTCTGTCCTAAATTCATAATCATACTCTTACCTTCAAGTTGAATCTACCTTTATTTGTAAACTGTTGGCTTAAATTATTTTCTACTAACTTTTGAGTATGTTTGGAGTATAAAATACTGTCATATTTTATATTTAAAAAAATGAGCTGGGAGGGAGGGAGGGAGAGGGAGAGAGAGAGGTGTCATCAGGTCCCATGAAAGTGATTCACTCATTTGCTTGTTGTCATGGAGCTCATATAACATATTGGATGGACTCTGAATTGAAAGATCAAATTGGCTCAGTTGTAAACTTGCCAATCTTAGGTGGACCACTACCTCTTAATCTCAGCATCTTCCCTTCCAACTTTTACTGAAGTTGACCCACCTTCACATCAGTGCACTTTTTGCATTCTGATTGAGTGTTGGGACTTGGACACATCCTGAATTTAGTTTTCCTACTTACAACTGTGGAAATGGCCAGATCATTGGATTTTAATGTGCAGAACATGCAAATGGTACACTTACATACTAATACAGTGAGCCACTGTCTGAAGCTAATTGGAAGATCAGGTTATGAAATAATAAGTTTGGAAGTCTTATTTGGGCTGAGACCTGGGGATTTTCGGTACAGAAATACCAACAGGCTGGTGGATCCAGTGTGAGTAATGTTGGCTGCGTGAACATATTCATTACCATAACTATGATACATTTAGGGCCTTGAAGAGTAATACTTATTCTGACTGGCAGTGGGCTTAATTCAGAGGTGCTTCTGAACCCAGCTGTAGTCAAAGCACCATAAACATATGTTCACAGTCTTCAAGTAACTACTTAGGACTTTTTTACCCATGTTGCTGAGTGGGAAATACTGTAGAGGCATTGAAATTTAGATTTACTGTTATTGGGTCATTAAGGTGATTGAAACCTTTTATCTCTTGTTAACCTAAATAATGCTACTTTGTAAGTAGTCATTGAAAAATTGACCATTAGATTTAAAATGTTTTTAATATAGAGAAATACAGAGAAATTTTCAATATAATGAATTTCAAAAATTGTCCTTCAACATCAAAAACAATAAATGAATATTTTGTGCTATTTAAACCATGCATATTTAAAGTACATTTAAAATAAGGTAGATACAATTCATTAATTCTTATACTGAATAAATAATACTCTGATGGGCAGAATAAAAATAACACATTTTAAATCTTAGTCTTACTATTCACCATGTAATACAATCAGTTATTCAGTAAGATATCATTACTATGCAGCAATATATTTTCTGCTAGAAAGGTGGGGTATAAATCAAATCAATAAATATACCCACTTACTTGGGTCCCATCAAACTAAGTGAGAATTATGTATATGGTTGCACTTTAAATGTCCTAATGTAACTATGAAATAAAGCTTCTATTATTCAATACTTCCCCTATTTATTTAGTATAGGGAAATTCCCAAAATAAGCCTTCTCTAAAGAATAGGCACACTTAGTATTGCTCAGGAGAGCCTGGAGGAATGTCATCCATGGGGTTGTGATGGGTTGGGCAGTATTGTTCAATAATACTATGTTCAAAAGTATTGTTCAATAGTAGGAGACGCATGTTTACAGACAAAATAATAATATTTGATGCCACTGTAACTAAGCTTTGTAGAAGGTGAAAGGAGTGAGGAGATAGCTTTTCAAAACTTGATTGATTTAACTGAAGTTTGACACTAATGGTGTATTGCCTGGTATTGTTAATAAGCTTTCTTTAATCCTATCATTTCGTGTTGCTTAAATTTACTATAATTATACCTGTAGATAGTACAATAAAATAATCTTATGCTTATTTACTTGATCATAAGTAACAGTGCATAACCCTTTATTGGGAAAGGGTCGGGTCAGTGCTTTTTTTGTAAGAAAAACGGTGCCGGAACTCATGAAATTATTTACCTTTTGCACGTAGTCAATCACTGTACACACACCCACACATGTCAGTTGTGTAACGAAACATAACAGTCGCCGCCTGCAGTAAGCACTCAGTGCACGACCACACAACTAATCACAAGCCAAGCAGCGCCATCACAAGCCAAGCAGTGCCATCACAACCAGCGCGGACGAAGCACGCATGCATCGGACTCGACACACAAGCAGTCTGCATGCACCGTTTTAATGATTTTGCCGCCGACCTGCTACGCTCGACAGGGCGATTCAAATCCACGTGGACCAAACATCAAATTTTCAAAAATTACTTTTAAAACTTGGAAAATCTGTTGAAAAAGGTGCCGGAACTCTGTTCCGGTGCATTTTATGACAAAAAAAGCACTGGTGAGTACCACGCTGATACTTGTACTCAGTATCTTAACAGCTCTTCAAGCCACTGAACATGTTATCCTCCTGATCAAATTTGTGGAATGGAAGCTGGGGCGCTGTTTTACAGTGGTTTTGGTCCTATCTACAGCACAGGTTCTGGAGAATAACATTGTGAGACTGTATGTTGGTCCCTGATGCTCTTGCTGTGGAGTACCTTCTATTGTGGAGTATCCAGCACTATTTAATAACTATATGAAGTTGCTGAGTGCAGTCATTAGGGGGGTTAGGGGTGAAGCTTTGTTAGTATGCTGATGATATCCTGATGACTTTCTCTGTTACATCTGAATTAGTAGAAGTGGTGTCACTCATGTGGTGCTGGAATGCAGTGTGAGCTGGAAAAAGGGCAGTGAGTTGGAGCTGAAACCCAGTAAGATGGGTTTGGGTGAATGGATTCCAGGTCTAGAAATTCTGGAAAATAACATTCATGATTGGGTTGCAATCCTTTGAAGGAATAGGTTTGCAGATTGGGGGCACTCCTTGATTCATCTCTATACTTCCAGGTTCAAGTGACTTCCATGGCTAAGAGGGCCTCTTAGCACCTTAGACTGGTATGACAGTTGTGCCCATTCCTGAACAAGTATAGCTTGGCCACTGTGATTCATGCACTGGGAACCTTGATAGTAGATTACTGAAATATGCTCCATGTAGGGCTGCCTTTATAGCTGACTTGAAAACATTGTGGCTAGGTGTATTGATGGGGGTGCCTTACCATACATGCATTGCATCTTTGCTATATAATATTACCTGGTGGTTTGCTACTGAGCTAGGTTTAGATTGTCGGTATGCAACACCCTATACAACCTGGGATCAGATTACTTGAAAGATACCAACCACCCAGGCCACTGTAATCTTTAGGAGAGGGCTTGCAGTTGTGCTTCAGCCTGTGGGATTCTAATTGGCATGGTGACACATGCCTGCCAGGTGGAATGATCTCCCTTCTGTGGTATGTCTGGCATCAGTTGTGGCTTTCCACCAATCATGAACTGTCCTCGAATCAGTCTCTGAGCTATTATTTGTTGCATTTATGATATTCTTTTATAAACAAGCTTGGAATTTAGGCAAGTCAGAAATAATATATACATGATGATAATGAATAAATGATGAGTTCATATTAATATGTTTGGTTCTGGCTATAGTATGATTTTTTTTTAATAGTGAAAAGTTTAAAGTATAAATGTCATTATTTCAGCAAGAGTGCTTTGGCATCTTCTCATTCAGTTTTCCAACCACTACATTATACCTTGAAATGAAATATCCAAAAGGTCTGCTACTCTTTTTACCCCAATTCCATGCAAAGCCGAGAAAGAGAAACCATTGAAAGTCAATGAATACCATCCATTTCCCTTGTCCCTGTATAAGAAGTTCACATTCTAACTAGTGTTTCAGCACTTTAATAGCTGTATGAAGTTGCTGTATGAAGTTGTTTGAAAAGGGTGCTCTTTTTAATGTCTATTCATGCTTGATTAGCATATGATAATGTGTGAATAACACTCATTTTAGCAGTCTGAAACAGGGACAGACTTGGTTAGATTTATTTTTAAATATGATTTACTTCTTGAAGTAGGCTATTTTGAGAGATTGATATTTCCCAAAGGCATTATATAAACCAGAAGGCTTTGCTCAAAATCCTACTATAACATGGAAGATGTAGTTCTCGTTCAAACTCTGTAAAGGCTGGACCAATGTGTGTTTGTTCGCAGAGTTGACAACCAGGATTTAGTGTATATGGAGACTCCGCAAGAAATTAAGGTAAAATTTGGCAGATACTTGATGTGAAGATTTGATAGAGTGAAAACAGAATGAGTTCCAAACTCGTATGACTTTGTGGTGGCTATCATAGTTTTTGTGGTGATGTTTCAGATAGTTGGAGACAATTGACAACATCCAAAGGCACTGAGTCAAATGATCTTTCCAATCATACAAGAGTGATACTATCCCCTTGTTGAATCCAGACACTGATATTTGTGAATTTTGAAAAAAAGTATCGTGTGAAGATACTGTGCTCTATTACCCAAGTTTTTGCCTTAGTTTTTATCACTACTTAGATGTTCAGCTCTATTTTTAAACTGATTTTGAACTGTCTTTATTAGATTTATATCCCACTTTTTCATACGATGAACTCAAAGCAGCTTACATAAGCTCCTCCTGCACTCAATCTAACCCCCCCCCCGCAACAACCCTGTGAGGTAGCTTGGGCTGAGATTCTGTGACTGGCCTAATCACCCAGTTGGCTTAATGGGCAAGCAAGGACTAGAACCCAGATGTCTTGAGTCCCAGTCCTGTACTCTTCATAACAGTAACAACATAATGTTTTTTTTTCCTAATGGTTAATAATACTATATTATCCCTATGTTGATTTCCTTGAATACAAATGAACATAGAACATGAAGCAGATACAAGCTCTTACAGTCTTACCAGGCTGACTTAAGTTTGGCCTTAGACCCAAGAAGATACATAGAACATGTAAGATGCTTTAACCTTCTGGGTGCAGTGTGATAGTATAATTCAAGATGGATGCACTAGTTTGTCACAATACCTAAAGTTTCCAATCTTATGTTCAGGTTTAGAACGCTAAAGACATTTTAATGAAAATTTGCACATATCTTTGTATACTTCCAATGCATTGTGTGTGTAGTATTGCTTATACTCCTTTTTTGCAAATAATGTTCCTTATATGTTGTGACGGATGTTTTCAGAAATATAGGAACATACAGTTTTCTCTAATATACACATTTCTGTAAGTATTTTTTTGATTGGTGAAAAAATTGATTGTAAAATTCAGGGAACATTGTATTCTTTCAGTTTGTGTATTAGTTCAAAATGGAACAAATTTTCCTCTGGTGATCAACTATAATTAGTACTCCAGTTAGCTTTTTCTATAACTAGTATTGAAAGAAATCAACATCACATTTTTCATCTTTTTCATCTTGATTTTGTTACGATTCTGTCATTGGATTTGGATTTTGAAGAGGCCATATAGGTTTACTTTGGGGAAAACAGGTGCCCATTGAGTCATGAAATAAGACACCTAGTTTTTAAGGAACCCACCAAAAGCCTCATACCTTGAAAGTTTTTTTTTTCCTGCTCCGTACAGCTTTAGCATCATTTCAGATAATGACAGTGACTATGTTTAGAATGACAGAGAACTATCACCAGAGTAAGAACTAACATTTCAAAGATTATTTCTGTTAATTAGTCCACATAAATGTGTACAGGGTTAAGAAAATAAAATGAGTTTTGCTGGATCAGATCAAAAACCTATATGTGGGGAAGCTCACAACCAAGGAGATAAGCAATAGTCCTCTCCTGCCCTCATTCCACAACAGCTGATACTTGGAGGCAACTAGTCTTAAGTAGGTCTATACTCAGCCCCTGAAGACATTGTGGTGATTTCTACCTCTGTTTTGAACCTGCTTCATGCTGCAGCTAAGTGAACATTTTTTGGTATCCAGTAACTCCCCTTTGGCAGCCTTTATGGGAAACTCTGGAGTGTCTCCAGTTCTGAAGAGATAAATGTTCACCTCACACAGTCCACAGCTACAATCAGGGTTTTGGCAGTAGTGATTGAGTCTGGAGAATGAAACTTCATAGGGTGCATTCATGTCGTGTCAACATTTTACTGGGCTGTTACTTGCCCGTTTATCAGTTCAGGTGAAATCCCTTGTGTTGACCCCAAACAACTCTTGGGATCTTGGATTTTGATTGCAGCTAAACTCTGCTGTTACGTTAATAGACTGTTTACACTAAGGCTGGATGCTCTTTCGGGAATAACTTAACACTAAGTGTGTAGTTTGTGTGATTCCTAATGTGCAAGTTTAGACCAGAAAAAGGCCTACAGCTTCTAGCTGTGGCATGCTGGGAGTTATAGGCATTACTTTTTACAGTCTGAACTTGACTTGGGCATGCCTGAAGTGTAGCTGCTTTTTTACAAGGGGGTGGGTGTCTTGCAGAAATTTATTCAGTTCGACCCATAACCATGTTTTCTTATGTATTTTTTATGTTGAAAACATGAAGTTTTATAATACTCTACAGAAGTGCAAGCTATTCTATCAGTAGGATGGATGAAATTGAATCTAACTGTCCCCATGCAGGCCAGCCATCTTTTATTTCATGATGTAATATTTATTTATATAATTTCTATACCATCCATTAGTCAAAATGACTCTCTGGGAGGTTTGCGTAATAATTATACATGATGCACTTATTCATTATGTAATTGCTATTTTAGATACATATATTAGGAAAGCTGTATTGCATAATTGTATATTTAAGGGAGATTCTAGTATTATAGGAGAGTGGGAAAATATATTCCTCCCCATTTTCCCCCACACCATGAATAAATCAATGCATCTCTATCATTCTCCCCTTACTCAGAGCCTCAAAGTTATCTGCAGTGTGTGTTACGCTGTCATCAGTACAGTGGTACCTCAGCTCAGTTCACGACTAAATCGGGTTGCGAACAGAAATTTCATAAAAATTTGCCCCAGGTTGCAAACTCTGTATCAGGTGATGACCGCGAGCCCGCCTGCCTGCCTCCCCTTCACAGGCGTGATCATGGTCATGTTGGGGAGGGGGGAGATGGCCACCATTGCACCCATGTTCCCTGCCCGAGTGCGCCTGCCTCCCCCTGCGTGCCTGCGCCCGCCTCCCCCCCAGTGCCCCTGCGATCATGCCCATCTCCCCCCACCCCTCTGCACAATCGCTGGAAGGCAGGAGATGGCCGCGATCTTTGTTGTTCTTTGTCACTTTCCTTCAAATTTTTGAGAGCAAAAATAATAGTTGCAGAACGGATTAACCTTATTTACATTGACCCTTATTTATTATTATTTAATTATTATTTGCATTTATATACCACCCTAGTAGCCCAGAGGGCTCTCTGGGTGATTCCCCTTTTGGGGAAATTTGACTTGGCTCATGACCAATTTGGGTCAGAGTCCTGGAATGGATTAAGTTGGTGAGCCAAGATACCACTGTATGTAGGTGACTTACAGCTCTACCTATAATTTCCATCTTTTAATCCAGAAAAGCTGTGGAACTCCTGAATTTGTGTCTTGACACAGTTTCAGGGTAGATGAACTGAGAAAATGGAAGCTTAATTCAGACAAGACAGAGCCACCTTGAGTAGAGAAACCTGTTGTCTTGGTTTAGAGCTATTCTGTATCCTGCCCTGAGAAAATATGTATTTTGAAAGGTGTCTTATATATTTCCTAAATAAGTGCAGCTTTTCTTTCCAAAACTTTTCTGAGACTTACTAGTTACTTTCAGCATCAGTTCATTTTTAATTTCATGCCCACAATCTTTAGACTGATGTTTTTAAAACCTTAAACTTGTTCCAGGTTCTGAATAATATAGTACTAGTATACTACTAGTATTTAGAGAAGTATGAAGGTTTGTGCACTGTAATTCTTTGACAAGGACATTCTGTATGAAGCTATAGAGATCTGGAAGTATGGCCATAACTGTAATCACACTAGTGCCTTTGTAGTCTGTTTTTATATTAACATTAATATTTCTTTCTTTGAAGGCATTGTGAAATGAAGACTTGGAGGAACACAAAGTCATGCCTATTTGGCCTAAACCCTTCTTTCTTCTTACTATTTGGCTCTCATGCAAGGAGGTTCTCTCTTTCATCTTTAGTTTATATTCTCTACCTGTTTCTCAGTGTTTTAAACTTTGAATTATTCCCCCACCACCTAAACGTTATTTTTCTCCATCAAAAGTTTGTTATCAACTGGCTAAGCAGTCCTTTGTTTCTTTAGCACCAGCAGACATTTCTGAATCAGCTGAGAGAGATCACTGGTATCAATGACACCCAAGTACTGCAACAAGCCTTGAAGGTACTGTGTTTTTCAAAAATGACTATGTCTGTCCATGTGTAAGATAAGGTCATGCTTGACTGACAGAGTTTAATATAATTGTTTTAAGATTATATAGTGGAGTTGAATTGCCTATATGTAGGATGAAGGGTGAAATATAAGGATCTCTGACCTGGTTCAAGTAAATAATGCTTCCGATGCAAACGTATCCCTAAAATCTTCTCATAAAGGAAATAATAAAATTGTGAGCAATTTGAAAACAAAATGACATTTCCTGCAGTTCAGATTGTTATCTTTTTCATCCCCTTCCCCTACTCTTTTTTTAATTGCTCTTATTTGTGTTGTCAGGAGTGATTTCGTATTTAGACTCAGATTATGTTGGCTTGCATTTCATTTACATGGATAAACATTCTGTAGTGCTACTCATACCTCCTATACCTTGCTTTACATATCTCTCAGGTTACTGTATACTTGCTTGAGATTATGATCACTGAAATTTGCTGAGACACTAGCCTTTGTCTCCTAACATCCCAACTTATCTAAAGTTAAACAGGCAAGAAAAGCAGTTTTATTAGATATTAAATAGATTTCATCCCCCCCCCAGCACACTCAGTTAACCTTTGCCAATGCTTGTTCATTTATTAAACCTCCTTTTCTTAATGTCTACTGTATTTTAGGATGGGGACAAAAATGTAACTCTCCAGTCTATGTGGCTGGCCTTATAGGAAAAATCTTGCCTTGCTTCTCTGTATAGTCTCAGCAGACCTTGCCTATCAGGAGTTCTCTTAGTGCCTCAGCAGACCCTATCCAGAAACATGTCTGGAATGGGCTTCCGGGCATGAGGAGAGTATGGAGGTAGGTTTGGGATGAATTTGCAAGAACATGAGGGAGAAAAAGGGTTTCACAGAATCTTTTCATAACAGGTGGTGTGAGCAGGCTAGTCCTGGTGCACAGTTAAAATAACAGATAGAGATGACCAGACTGGCTAAAATATTCCCAACTGTTAGTGCCTTGAGCATGCCCCCCCCCCCCGTTTCCTCACATGTAAGGACAACATGCAAGAAGGCATTTCTTTTTAATCAAAGTCATGCCAAACAACTCTTATGGAAGGGGCTTGGCTGACTGAACATGGGGAAGCTATGGGAGCTCTGGCCACAATTGTTTGTATTTTCCAGCCAGTGGAATGTTTCACAAAATGGCTGGGCTCCAAACAAATAAAATTGTATGCCAGTTTAAAAGGAGGTGGTAGAGCATGTTTGGATTATACAGGTCACTGGAGTCAACTGGGTCTCTCTGGACTTGTATGGTCATGTACAAACTGGCTGATCCTAACAAATAGATACTGATAGTTTATTATGTTTCATTTAAAGGACAGCAATGGGAACTTGGAATTAGCAGTAGCCTTCCTTACAGCAAAGAATGCTAAGATTCCTCAGCAAGAAGAGGCAACTTACTATCAAACAGCACTTCCTGGAAATGACAGATACATCAGTGTGGGCAGCCAGGCAGATACAAGTAAGTATCTATTCACTTAGCAATTGGGAACTATCCCAGGCTAGCATTTCCTGAATGGAAGAAGTAAGGAGCTCACAGAAGAGAGTTCTGCAGATCTGTCCCATTCTGACAGTTCTAGTTAAAGCTTGTTTCAAGTGGTTATAGCAAGGGCTAGCTTCATATTGTACAGTGGGAACATTGGATGTTACCCTTATGATGTTATTCCTTAATGGTCTAGTCCATGCGTATTTTAGAAACCACTTTCCCCATATAGACTTTTATCAGAGGAGGAGGTTTTAAGAAAACAAGAACAGAAGCAGCAAGGAGAAGAAATATTAAAGCCATGGCCCCATGACTGTGAAATATGCTGTCATGTCTAGGACACCATTCTCTATTGTGGGCTGGTGTTTTAAAACTAAAGGTAGCGTTGAATACTGTAATTAGTAAGGGTAACTGCTTCTGTTCTTCATTCCTCTGTGGAAGTTATTAAGGTATAGCTAGTTAGGATTTAATTATTTTAGAAAATTAGAAAATCTAATAACTTTGTTGTTCACTCTATATGTTATTAAATGCCTCCAAATGGATAATTATTTCAAAATATTAAGTAATGAAGCATAATTGTGTAGCCTCTCTGTAGAATGACATTTAGAAAAATTCAAGTCATCTAAGTATATAGCTGTGTTGCTATATATTCTCATGGCTCATTTATATGTGGCATTCCTTCTACACAGTTGTTAATAGTGATTGTGTATATGGAAGTTGCCTTTGAAAAATCTATTTTGCCATCTGTACCTAGACACACAGTAAAAGCCTTGATGCAAGCATGTGCAAATGGGTTCACTTAATTGCAACTCATGCTTCTAGCTATTAGCAATCCATGCTTTAAAAAAAGGCTATTGGTATTTATACTTGAAATCCTTATATCCAAACACAAGCCTGATTAAACTTGAAAGTAATATAAAAATATAAAACTGACCATTTGACCAAAAACTACTACATAAAATAAAAATACAAAGCGCTTTCATTGGGTAATGGTGATGCAAGCATATTTAAATCTGGCCTTTATCATTCCTATACAGTACTAATTTAATTTGAAGTGGAGCGCATCTTATAATTCTGAGTACTACATTCAAACCCTGTTGTTCATCAAGAATTGCATTTCAACTGTATGTTTTTTAGGCTATCAATGTTAATGTTGATGATAGTGATGGTGATAAAATGTGGCAGGTGTGGGAACTCCAGCTACTGTTCTTCACTGTGCAGAAAAACTTGTTTTTCAGGAACAAGGAAAGGAAAAATGTACATATGTTTTGGGAAGACCATAAAATTGACCTTGACACATTTTGGCAGATACAGCATGTTTAACAATGGATGGTATTGTTTGGTTTTTAGTAACCACATTCTTGCAAAAAATAAAGGAAATGAAAGCACAATTCCTTGGAACACACCTAGGATAGACAAGCATTGAACTGGGTGGTTGTAGTTGAATATGCTGTTTCCAAATGGATGAGGCTCTCTAATATGTGAAAAGCTGGTAGGCTGTGTTTTCTGTTTTTGTGGTAACCTGAAGATTCATACAGTTTTTCAAAATTTCTGAATATTGTGGAAACATGACTTTATACAGTTTACCAGAGCTTGCACTTGACCAGCTCCTTTATGCGGTCAGAGCAGCTTTGTTGGCTTTTTGTGACTGCCATGTAATTAACCCACAATGGGCTGTTGTATTAGGTGACCTAGGTCTCTGAGTGCCACACTTGAAGACTGTTTGAGTTAATTAAGCTTTATGATGAAACCACAAAACTATGGTTATCCTATTTTGAACAAATCAGTATCTGAAACATGGCATCAATATGGCACTTGGATAATATGTTATTACAAAATTATGTAGTTAGGCAAGTTCTACTTCATAAATCAGAGGAAGTGTGTGTGTGTAATTTAACAATGTCCCAGAGGTTAGCAGTACTACTATTGGGGAATTGTTGAGGCAGTGATCAGAGGCAAATTTATCTCATTCATATATCACTTGTCTAAAGGAAAAGAGTGAAAATATGAACATTTAACACACATTCATATATTGGAGGCAAAACATAAGGAAACACGATCTTAGATGATTTATAGGAAATAAAAAGCTTTGAGGAAATATTTAATCAAGTGTACTAAGGTAGCAAAATATTTGTTTTTTAAAGCAACTTTTTAAAAGAGCAAATAAAGTTAGGAAAAAAGGACATAGTCATAGGTTTTGCAATTGAAAGATGGGGACGAATTGTGAATGCATTTAAAGAAGTTTATAGTATTTTTGTAGTATTATGTAGTAGTATTCAGGAAAAAAAGTCAGATGAAGGAATGTTTTCATTTAAGAAAAAACCAGTCTGCCTTTTCAACTGCACAGGATGACAAGTTTCTGCAGGGTCCTAATACCATGGAATACTACATAGGAAAATTATACTTTTAATATAATAAAGGACTTATAATAAAGGATGGATGGCTTTACTGGAGAATATAATATAATTATTTTTGTTAATTATGTTATTATACTGGTTTTGTGTTAATATATTGTAATACACTATTTACAGTATAAATAATGGTGTAAACATGGATGTTCACATGCCAAAACCAAAAACATGCCCCAAGAAATGGGAAGATACAAAAATAATTATAGTTTGAAAAGCAAGGAAAGCATTTATTGAAGCCAGAATTGTTTAGACGTTTTGGCCTACTAATGCCTTTAATATGGAACAATAACTTCACAAAAACACTTTACTAATGAAGAGAGGAAGACTAAACCAAGCATATTAGATTTCTGACTCCAGGGTTGAAGTTGATTACACTTAATGAGCTAAGAAATATACATCTCAACTGGTTCACACCTAGAATAGATAGAACAACTGAGATTTTCTTTTTAAATGCATTGATACACAGGATCTCCATTCCACCCCCATGGATCATTTTTAGATAATTGTCTGCTGGCTTTGGTATGGAGATGCTGACTGGATTTCCCTCTTACTGAGCCAGGCTTATTATCCTGTTTTCTTAATTAGCATTTGGTAGCCTGGATGTAACAGACTCTGGCTTAATGGAAACCGTAAATTTATACACAGGTTAGTGTGCATAAAGGGCTTGATAGGAATGCATAGCCTTGGTAGAAATAGGAATCTGGATAGGAATCTGGATGATGCCTTTATCAAGATAAGGCAAGTATATCAAGTCATATTGAGAATATATCCAAAACCAATGTACCAGAAGTCATTGTAATGTGGTGGTTACGATGTAACTTCCAACACTGACTTGGTAACTTCAGTCTAGTCCTCCACTCTCAGCATAGTTGGGGTTGTTGAGAGATTGGGAATTATGTACGCCACCTTGGGCTATTTGGAAGAAAGCATTGTATAAATGTAACAGTAGTAATTCACAGAAAAGAAGAATAGGTCAGTGAACTAGGGATGAAACAAAACATTGAAAGAATGAAGATGCTGATAGATATTAGTTTAAATGAGCTTTGAGTCATCTGCAAATGAACTTGCTTTTCAGGCTGTTGATTTTTTCATGTTGAGATAGATAGTTTTACTTTTCAGATGTGATTGATCTCACAGGGGATGATAAAGATGATCTTCAGAGGGCAATTGCCCTCAGTTTGGAGGAGTCAAACAGGGCATTCAGGGAGACTGGAATAACAGATGAGGAGCAAGCCATCAGCAGGTAAACAGATAACTTTCATTAAGATACGTGTAAAATAATCAGACATATAGAAAACATACATGGGAGTGACTCTTTTAATAGTGAGGAAGTATGAAATTTCTGGAATATGAAAATTCCCTGCTCTGTGCTAGGTTTCCTGTGCAATTAAGTCATCTAGTGCATATCTAAAGGTTCAGCAAGGAAGAGACTCTGTGAGAAAAATCACGATCAGCCTTCAAGGGGCCCTGGTCAGGAAAAGTGCCTTCACTCTCTTTTCGGAGGCCCACTTCCGTAACATAGCATTTATACTTTTATCACTTTTTGTAAGCCTTTGGTAATTGTCTGTTATTTACATTTGTTATTTGCAAAGTTGTGTTAAAGAATGGTGATAGTTGTATTAAACCTATATAACACTAGAATTCACAACATTCATGCTATTTATATGTATGTATGTATGCTTGTATGTATGTTAGTCTCTAAGCTATAGTTAGCTAACATGGCTATCCCTCTGGAAAATATTTTTAAGGGAATATTGCTTTGAGAAGGAAGTTTAGGGTGATTATTACCAATCCCACAAAAATAAATTGCCAGTAAGGGAAGGGCTATTAGTACTGTCATACCACAAATACCTGCAGGAGGGACAAAGCACTACTTCTGAAAAGACCAGGTTTTTTATGGGAAACCTCTAAACCCTAACCCCTACCCTAACCCCTAACCCCTACCTAATAATAATTATAATGCTCAATATCTAAAACATTTGCTGGAAAAAAGCCTCTATCTTGATGTGTTAAAGAAGCTGTATTTCTTTTTATGAGATTATTTTTCTAATGTTATTGCTGCATTTTACTTTCCTCATTGTTTCATTTTCTTTCTAAGAGTTTTAGAAGCCAGCATAGCAGAAAACAAAGCAAGTCTTAAAAGGACACATCCAGAAGTATGGAGTGACTCTCCTAATCCATATGATAGAAAACGTCAAGATAATTGGCCAGTGGGATTAAAAAATGTTGGCAATACATGCTGGTTCAGTGCAGTTATACAGGTAATTGATTAATGCATTTTACGTATATAATTCATATTTGAATCATGACTCACACCAAGCATCTGTTCTGAGGAGAGGAAGGGGTATACCCTAACCACTGCAGTCTAAGCAAAGTAAAATATTTGCTCAGATTGAACACCAGCCTAGCAAGGTAAGATGCCTCATCACTTACATCCAGCTCAACTTGAGCCAGGGAACTCTCAGCCCTTAGAGGAAACTTTTAAGGCTTATGAAAAAGGGCTCAAGCTGGCACCCTCCATTTCAAAGCTGATAGCTTTGTGATGGTGAATTTTTCAAAACATTTCTAGAAGTCTCCCAATAAATAAATAAATAAATAAACAAACAAACAAACAAACAAATTTCTCCTAATGCTTTCAATAGACTTCAGTTTATCTCTAAGAAATGGAAACTGTATCCTCACTTGGTAGTTTGAAAACACATTTTTGCCCCATCATCTCAATATCAATTACAACCAATATAGAACTTGATACTTTGTAGCGGCATTATAGTGGCCTCTGTCCATCCTAAATGATAAAGATTTGATGCAGAATTATCACCTCAAAGTTAATATTTTCTAGAAGTTTAGTATTCTAGAAAAATTTGTAGGAATATAATTATAGATACTTGTGTTTGTTTTCATTTGAAAACCAGGCTGGCTTATATTTTACCTAACTATCCCAGATTACTTCATGTGGGATAAATTTGGACATTACCTACCACAGAATTTATTTAACTGGAGGATTGATGGGCTCCTTAGGTTACATAAACTGTGTGACAATATTTCATCCTTCCCTTAGAGTTCTTTTGAAACCTGACACATTCAAATAGAGGTCAGCTGTGTATAATGTTGCCTCTATTAATCAGTGACATTCTGCATGGAATAGTAGCAAGATAAAACAAAAACAAACCATAAAGTATCGTTATAATTTTTTCCATTGGAAACTTGTCATAATGAAAGTTTTGTTCTATTGATACCTGCTTTTATGGATTGTTTCCTTCATTTTTCATCATGTAGAACTTGAGTCAAAAGCTTATTTTTGTTCAATCAGTAGATCTCATCCGCCAGAATAGTAAAGTTGCTTTCACCATTCTGTTATGCCATGTGGTAAAAAATGATTTTCCCCTCCCCAAAAATTAAAAAATAAAAAACCTTTAATGCCATGTGGATTCTATACATGTCAGTTTCATTGCTGAGTAGAGTTTGGAACCTGAGTTTTCATATCCAGCCTTCCCTCTGTTTTAGCCATAGTCCTGATAAGGAGTGGTGCTGAAGCTCCAAGGTGATTTAAGTTACTTTGACATGTACTTTAAAAATTTTGTGGGATTTGAACGTATATCCTATGATTTAGTCTTTTACTATCCCTAACTACCTTTCAGCTTTCTTTTCTCCTCTTTCCCCCTCAGTCCCTCCTTTCTTCTCTGTCTTACATAGTTGTACTTCTAAAAACTGTGATTCATCATCTATTGATGGCATATAGCATCTGGCATGAATCTCAGCTTGTTGGGTTTTTTTCCTCCCTTAAGTAGTGCATAAGTTACCATGAAGCTCCTTAACTCTGTCTAGTTGTAACAGTTTGGGAAGCATGGATTTAGCTCTGCTTTGTCCTTCTCCCACTGTGGTTTTAGAACACTGAACTTTGGTTACTACTGACCATAGATGATCTAACTCCTTGGAGATAAGGCAAAATCTAAAAATAGTCTGCCTCTTAAACTAGGAAGTAAAATTTATTAATGTCTTAACAGTCTGGCACTGAAGAAATATTCACACATGCATGGGGAGAGACCTTTGGGGCACTGGCATTTAGTTCTATCAACTAAAAATTAAGTTATTGACTGACTAATGCTAAGTAGTATTAACAGTAGCTGTTCCTTCTAAGAAGGATATTTGAGTTATAACCATTAGCTGGATGTATTTCAGTTGTGCTATAGTTATTAAAGTATAGGTGTACCATCATAAATAAGTATACTGTTCAAGAAAACCAGTGTGCATTCAAAACATACAGCAACACATTTATCTCCAGTTCAAGCTGCTGTTACCCATCTTGGCATACAAGCTTGTGCTCTAGTGAGCAATGTGTTTTTTGTTTGTTTGTTTGTTTTTTTGTAAGAAACCACCCATTTACTTAATACTATCAACAAATTATCAGACATAGTGAGGAGCGGAAATGGATTGTCAGTATTGATGAGATTCTGGAAGGAAATACACTGCACTGTTCATTAAAACAAAAGATTGGCATATACCCCCTTTTTATTGCCTTTAAACTGGCATGCACCCTTTTTAGTGTCATCCTCTGCTATTCAAATGCGATAGGTTAATCCAAACTTTTTCAGTCTGGTACCCTTCAGATGCTTTGGATTTCCATTATCAGCATTTCTGTGGGTTGGCCATGCCTGTTGGGGCTGATGGGAGTCAAAGCCCAAAACATCTTGAAGACATCAGGTTGGAGAAGGCAGTATTAAGCATTTGTGTTACAGATTCTGTAGTATTGAAATGTGTGTGAAAAGATTTTATCCACATGTATTATCCATACAGCTAAAGTGGAAATATTCCAGTGACTAAGTTTGGAGTCCTGGTTTGATGGCATCTGAAGGATTTTCAGTTTACAAATTGTTTGGGTAATCTGTTTGAATAAAGCCTTGATGTGTCTGCTGGGTAATAATTAATCCAGCAATGGTCATATTAATACTAAGTCTCACATCATCAGAAACCCTTTTGTGTTTCATGCCTTTTGTTGTTTGAATTCACTTTGGAGATTGCAGACGTAAAAAAAGGAGATAAGGCAAAAACGTAACACAAGCCTTTTTCTTTTCCTGTTTCTTTTATAGTTTTTTAAAATAAGTCTGTTAACTTTATCCATATAGGGAATCAGAAATCATGTGCGCCTTAAGGTGGTGCAGTGAAAATGCGAGCCCCATTTTCTGTACAATAGTAGAAGATAAAGAAAAATACACATCTTTGTAATATTTGAAGTAGCTGTCAGTGCCACTACCATTCAGGTCTTTTAAGTCTCAGGTAATTGTGCCAACCTTTGCAGAATTAACCTGAATAGAAGTATCCCTGGATTTAGGGAGACTTACATCTGGGTAAACATGCAGGGAATTGACCTTTTTCTAACTTATTGTGCTGAAGCTTATTGTGTTGTTAGGAAGATTTTACTCGTTTATATAATCTGACTTGGTGGAATACAGAAGTTTCTTTAAACCAGGCAAGTGAGACTTTGGGCCAGTTCTTACAATCACTGTTGGCTAAATGGTGACTTACTTAACCAATGGTACATGCTGCGTACAGTTTGTATAATAACCTGCCCCATCACCAATTTTCATACTGTTCAAGTGGCCTGGCTTGTTTGATGAGGGAGTAAACCTCAACTGAACAGCAGCCTTGTTTAGCCTATTATGATGGTTTGAACCACATGAATATGTTTGTTTATTTATTTATTTGGAACTTTTATATGCCGTCACCACATGCCTTGGCATCTTGGGACGGCTCACAAATGTACAATTAAAAACAATAAAACAATACAAATTCCATAAAATTATATAAAAACAAATAAGTGACTGTTAATGATAAAAATACTAATTTTTAAAATAGCAAATAAGGTTTTAACCTGGTGCTGAAAAGAATATAAACTCAGTATCAGGTGCACCTCTCCAGGAAGTGCATTCCATAATCTGGGCGCCACTGCAGAGAAAGCCCTGCTCTGGGTAGTTGTTCTTTTTATCGCCTTTAAAGAGGGCTCTGGGAGCACAGCCTCTCCCGCAGATCTTAAGGGGTGTGAGGGCATGTAAGGGAAGATGCGCTCCTTCAGGTATCGTGGTCGCAAGCCATTCAGGGCTTTATAGGTTCAAACCAGCACCTTGAATTGGGCCCAGACTTCAACTGAAAGCCAGTGTAGCTGGTGGAGGAACAGCTCTATTATATGAGAATAACGACCCGTCAGCAACCTGGCAGCTCTGTTCTGTACCAGCTGAAGTATCTGGACCGTTGTCAAGGGCAGCCCCACGTAGAGCGCATTACAGTAATCCAACCGGGAGGTTACCAGAGCATGCATTACTGTTGCTTGAATTTGACATTAATTTTTGTATTAATAATATTCTTGTAAAAATGTGCTTATGGGGAAAAGAAATACTAGATAGCTTTATGTTTTGTATATTCTGCTCTTTTCTTTCTTCTCCCCTTTGGGGAAAATAGCCCCAAAGGCTTTTTTTAAAATAAGTGCTGCTGCTGCAGCAGCAGGAAAATTACTTCCTCAGTTGGATATTTCAAGTGTCTTCTGTGTCTTGAAGAAGCGCACAAGGCACATTTCTGCTGACACAGCAAGATTTTCCCTAATAGACCTGGAGGAATAGGTCATCCTGCCTCCATGATGCTGTCTAGGAGCAGGTGTACAGGCAGCAGACTTGGCTGTGATGTATAAACCTTTTATATAGCACTTCATTCACTGTTTTCAAAAGGCTATCTCCTTCTTCTGCCACCTTTATGGACAGTGCAATCACGCAAATACCTCCTTCACTGGCACCCAGAGCTCCAGTACCAACACCTTCAGCTACTTCCCTGGACCAACAGCTCTTTGGCATCTGTGGTTGATACCAAGCAAACAAACATATGCAATTCTGGTTGAAGCACCCCACAACTGCTTGGGCTCCTGGACCAAAAGAGAAGACAGAGTTGACTCATTGAATTGGGTCAAATATTGAAATGTATTGTTTCTTAGCTCTGACTCTCTCAACAAGACTGTTGATGCTACATCTCTCCAATGCCACTGCTAGAAAAAGTACTTGGTGAACATAACTTACAGGATGGTCTCCAATCCCTTGGCTCCATCTCTGAAAGTGAATTCCTACAATGTTTCTTGCTGGGTCCTTTCTGTTCATCGTAGCACCCATCTTTCAGATGCTGATCTCCTTGGTACCAAAAATCCTTGCCAAATCTTCTTCATTCTCAGACTTCTTTTTCCATCATTGTTTTGTTTTGCCTAGAGATAACTGTGACTATTACCACCACAATTGTCCCCCTTCATATGAAGATTAATCTATCAAGAAATACTACATTACCATAATATTGAGTCCATCTACTACCAGAACCAACAACAGCACCTGTATTTGGGAGCCTCCAGAAATACTCCGTTACATATGAAGTCCAGTCTGTGCAATACTCCATTACCTTCCTGGCCTCATTACAACAAAATTCTACATTTCCCTGGACAACTTGACCCATAGTGATTCTGAGGAACACCCCCTCCCCACTTCCCGCCCCATCTTCCATCAATCACTCATACTTCAAACACTGAGCATTAATCAGTGGAGGAAGTTTGCTGATAGAACTTTCCCTTTATCCCTGCTTCCAAACCTGCCATCATCTCTTATGGCACAGTTGGAGATCAGTCATCTGATGGCATCCAGCCCTATGCTGGGCAGATGATAAGGACAGCAAAATCTGTTGTTCTAGAAATTACATTGCCAGTAGCTTTGGTCACCAACCCTTTATTTGATACAGTTCAGGCAGACATGATACCATGTTACTTGATATCACTCTTGATACCAATGCTGCCAAACCTAATCCATGGCGTGTAATAGTCATGGACAAAATTTCCATTCTCTTATCAACATTTCACAATATTGAGAAGCTTTACAGAGTTTAAGATGATGTTTAAACACCTGCTCTATGATCCATCATCAGAGAAGCATATCTGGCAAAATCTAAGGACAGAGCACCATGGATGTTTAGGGATGAAAATTCAATTGCATTAATTGTGAAATACTCCGCAGCTGCTCTTGACAACTTCCAAGTCTGCATGTCAGTTACCAACAATTTCTGTGGGACAAGGTTTCTTTTGTTGGACTACTGCTCGGAGAAGACCAAGATTTTTGGTCATGGTTTTTTAGCCAGAGCTTACAAGCTGTCAAGTCAACAGATCTGCACTGCATGGCAAATGGTAGATTATGGATCCAAATATGGATCAGGTCTATCACAGCAGCCATTTTCTCAGGAGGCACACACAGTTCTGCAAATCAGGTGTGCACCATGATAAAATATGAGGATAGAAGATTCTCCTTGCTTTCAATGGGATGAACGTTTTAGCACCTCCCCAAATGATAGGCTCAACGATTCACCATCATCCTACAAGATGGGGTGAGTTCCCAGTCATCAACAACCTATATCTCTCAATTATATTCATATTGGCACCACCAATTAACACAGGCCTTTCCAAGTCAGTCTTCAGCAGGATACCCAAAGAATCCTCCTACTCAACTTTCTACTATGAATCTACCTTTCAGTTCAAATACCACCATTGTAACTACAGGAAGAATGCCAACCAAAGCAAGCATGTTTTGACTGTCACAGTAAATTTTCATGTCAGGTTGCCTTTTTTTTTTTTTTTTTAACAACAAACTGACACCCTTCTTTCATGTTCAGGACATTAAATTAGACAAGTGAGTCTGCATCATTGCATCAAATCTGATAAAACATTCCCATCAGGCATATTTCCTTCTCTTGGGCCTGCACTGCTACTTGAGAAAGAAAATGCTACCCTTCCACACAAGAATGTAATAGAAAGGATACCCTCACCCAAATGTCATCAGGCTTCTTTTTGAGTTGCATTACCCTGTTTTGGACGTTTGCTGCAACAGCTTTGAAACTGAGACATAGGCAGAGCCATTCTTAGAGTGCATACAGAGAGGGGTTGGATCCAGAAGCTCTGCTTAGCTCTAGATCATTCCAAACCCTTCAGTTTATAGAATATAATTTTTGGAAAAGTCTTGGAATAGCTTGTTTGTACATAGAACTCTGATTTATAAGCAGCATAACAGACATAATCATTTAGTTGAATATTTGCCAGTTGGAAGTATAGTCATGTCTTTGAACTATCAGAAATTTGTATTCAAAAATGTACAAGAAATGAAGTATAACGTATCTGACATAACAGTTAAGTTTGCTATAGTAATTTCAGGTATAAATTACCCCCCCCCCCCCACACACACACAGCATGCTAGATGAGTTGAATTTCACAGTTTTTCTTTTAACTAAATTTTGAAAAGTTAAGGTGTTGACCTCTGTCTTACAAATATCTGATTTTCAATAGGGTGACCATACTTGGATGGCATTCTCTTTCAGCAGTAGTTCTTAGTAATTGTATCTCAAGGAAATGGTAGTGCATTAAAGGTTAAACCCAACATAACACTAGCAAAGAAGTGCAAGTGATGCTGTTCCAGTAACTGATAGCTAGCACAAGCAAAACCGAACACAAACTCAAAGTAAGTCAGGAAAGCCGTTGGGCAAAGAATTTGATACTTGCACAAGGATGGAATATATTACCATAAGCAGTAAACATTTTTCACCATTATTTAGAACCCTACATTGCAAATAAAAATTATTTAAACAATGATTGAGTGTCCTGCTATCTGTTTTATTAAGATAATTTAGATATGTATATAATTTACAAATTTAGGTTTGCTTCTGGACTGTGATTTTCATTTGACATAACATACATGATTTATATCTTTCATAGAACCAGTCACTCTTTCTGCATATTAAAGTATCCTGAGCTTTTCAAAATAGAGCAAAAGTGCAGTAGAAATTCTGTATGTGGCATAACCTCAAATCAGCTATGTATGTCTAATTTATTTTTGTGCAGTTGTTGACTTTCAAAAGAGATAATATAACATTCCTTTTTCTTTTGCAGTCGTTATTTAATTTGCTGGAATTCCGAAGGCTTGTCTTAAATTATAGTCCACCTGCAAGTGCTCAAGATCTGCCCCGAAACCAAAAGGTACAACTAGAAGTACACACTGCCAGTGGAGTAATACAATGCTTGTCTTGATGCATAATACTACTCCATGTCTCTTCTCAGCTCTGGAAAATTTTGAAAGAGAATATTGCATAGAAAGTGTCAGATGTAAGAAAGAAGAGTGTTGTTCTCTTTTAACCTGTAATCTTTATACAGGGGCAGCTTCCTGGTATAATCAACAGAGTATACCTTAAAGCCTGAAGTCAAGGTTCTGATGATTGGAACAAATTTGTGTTAGTAGGAGGTCTAGAAGGGTGTATTCCCCTTGTAGCATGATTTCAAAGCAAAACATTTTCAGTCTCCATAAGTGTCTGCTTTCATTGCTCCCAAGCTTATCTTACATCAGGGATGGGATCAGTTCTTACCTGCTTTTACTGTGTATATAAATGCAAGTGAGATAAAACTGTCCAATAATATTTGTTTCATTTAACAATGACATGGTTATTATTCCTATATAAGCCCCTGAGTCACAATAGGCTAAAACAGGCAGTAGGATTGAGGTTCAAAGTTTAAGAGAGAAGTGTGCCTTTTGTTTCTGTCACTGCTTGCTATGGTCATTGAGTGGTTCACTAAGCCTGGCCATACAAACTCCATCTAACTGTACTTGGTGCAGCTGTCCAGGAAAAACAAATAGATTGTTTGTTTATTTGTTTAAAGTTTTTATATGCTGCCCCATTACTAGTTGCTGCATTGTAGATGCTGGTATTCTGATGCAATTACCCTGACTAAAGTAATGTGAAATAAGGCTAGGCACTGCAACATAGCAAACACATTCAGTAGTAAATTGTCCAGGTGCCAAATACTGATGAAAGAGCCCATCACTGGGCTGAAAAATGAACATTGTGTAAAGTATCAGCTAGACTGGAAGACATGATTTGTTGGTGGAATCTTCACCTGGGCAGTGATGAGAGAATCAAAGTTAAACACTCAATCCAGAAAGGAAATATGCAGGCTCTTTTCTGGTTCCTGATTTCTAGCTGAAGAGGGCAAAGGAAGCTGCCTCAGCTGCTGTAGGGCTTATTCTGTACAAGCAAGCTCCCAGAGAGGACTAACAGGAGGTTGACAAGGTTGATGTTTTGTTCTTGATATGATCACTGTTTAGTAATTCTCTTCAATAGATCAGAACTTACAATGCAATATCAGCAAAAAGTAAAATGATGTAATTGTTTGTATTTATTTCAAATGCAGGAAAACAGAAATTTGCCTTTTATGCGTGAACTAAGATACCTGTTTGCACTTCTTGTTGGCTCAAAGAGAAAATATGTTGATCCTTCAAGAGCTGTTGAGATCCTTAAAGATGCATTTAAATCAAATGATTCTCAGCAGGTATTTTTTTGCTTACTTTAAACAGAAATAATGTAATTATAATTGAACAAATGGTGTGAGAAATAACAATAACAAGTTCTGTAAGAGCACTATAATATTTGATAAACCATAACTTATCTGCCTTTCACAATGTCTCAAACAAGCTATTATGTCCTTAGATATCCTCTAGGCCTACATCTGCTAGGATGGGACCATATTTTTGAGTGTTCCCATTATTGTCAATTATATGTAACACAGAAACTTAAATTAGCACCATCCTATTTGAAAACACAAATACTGCCATTTGCTCAGGGTTCAAATAATAGGCATAGGCTATCCTTAAGGTTGCTCTAGTAACTTTTGGTTTGTAGCGAACTATAGCAAGCCACACAAATATCTTTCCCTGGTATATAACAACACCTTTTTAATGTTAATTCTGCTATATTAGGTATATTGTAATCATAGTCTGCAAGTATTATAACCATAATATCCATTGTTAGATATTAATAGGTGTGTGCTCATTTCAACAGCAAGATGTCAGTGAATTCACACATAAGTTATTGGACTGGTTAGAAGATGCCTTCCAAATAAAAGCTGAAGAGGAGCAGTAAGTATCCTTTTTTAAAGTTCAGCAGTGTATCCTGATTTCTTTTATGGCTTTAATTTTCAAGAATCTGTGGTCTTTACAAGATACTGTTGCTAGTGATGAAATTTAATACTGCTGTAACCATGTAAGGTCAGCTTAAGAGAAAAACCAGGAAAAGGAAGGAGGCAGCAAAGTCACCATCTCATGCTTGTCCTGGATCAGCTGAACTGTTCCTACCTCCCTTGCAGCATCTATGTAAATGCTATGAAAACAACTGGGATGGGCAGGTACACCTACTCCTTGAAATGCTTAGATTTGCCACTTCTGTTCACTTTCAGTGGACTATCTTTAAAGGAATGGTAGGTTTTAAGGATATTACAAGCCATTTTATAGACTGACTGAAAATCTGGATACAAATCAGATAAATAAATAATAGAGTATTAAGATCAACTCTAATGACAGCTTTTGTCTATTTTTAATATAGATTAAGTAAAAATGTGTATAATACTCAGGATTGAAGTTAGTTCTACTGAATGCAAAAAAAGGTGATGAACAGTTTCTTGAAGTAAACAGATTCCTCTTATAACTTCAGGTGTGTTTGTGTATTACACACCTACATTTGCACTATATTCTTTGTTTCTTTAGGGATGGAGAGAAGCCAAAGAATCCAATGGTAGAACTATTTTATGGGCGATTTCTAGCAGTTGGAGTTCGCGAAGGTATTGTTCTTAAGTGGGATGTTTCTATGATTTGTTTAACTCATATTTTGATGAAGAAAAATATTGAGCTGAAAATTATCCATTCCAGATAGCTGTATGCAAACACAGCAGAACATTGCTTTACAGTTTATCATTTAAGCTCAAGACTAAGGCAGTTTCCAGTGTAACAGGAGTGGCAATGCAAATTATATTGGGCTAGAGATTGTGCAGTGCAATTAACAGTAATGCTCTGTAAATAGTGGTAGAAATTGAATCTAGAAACTTAATTTAAAACATATGTTGCGGTCTTATCCCCTCTCTCCACCCATTCTTAGTACTGATTTTTGACACTTTCAGATCAGCATCTTTGAAACTGAGTCTGAATATCAGCATGCATTGAAATAGCTTTCATGTTTGTAATCATATGCCTGTTTGGACAGAAAAAAGCCTTACAACTCCCAGCATGCCCTGGCCATCATGGAGCACACTGGGACTTGTAAGTTATTTTTTCTGTCTAGAAATTATTAACTTTGAAAGCTTTTGCTGCCTACAGGTGTTGCACAGGCAAAATGAAAATGACAAAGAGGATGGCTGATAAATGTCTTTTCATTTTTGATTCTCATACTCATGTTGCGGTTGACTTAAGTGCTACCACCAATGTAATTTTATGATTACATGACTATATAGTATAAATGTTCTCGAAGATTATGGTTTGAGAACAGAAAAAAAGAATATACAGGCAACGATAAGCATGAAGACCAAACCCTATAACTGCACTTTTAAAACTTTGATTTGTAAACATACAGCAGGATCCAAAAAACTTCCAACTACTTGCATTTGCTATGGGAGCTTTGGGATACTTTGTATCACATAGTAATAACATTGCCATATACTAAATTATGTTTGAAAATGAAGATACCAGAAAAGCAGTTTGACATTGTATGAGAGTGTAGTGTAAAGAAAAAATAATCCTACTAGATATAGCCAAAACATGGAACCATTATGGACTGTAATAGCAAATCTGAATGGGTGACTGCCAGTTAGTCTGGAAGTCAAATGGAACAATCCCAAAATAAGACAATGGAGTATTGTGTGTGTGAAAAGATACATTTATGTCCAAAACAACCTGACAAACACTTTAGTGCATCCTAGATGTATAGAATGTAATGGTGACAATTGAAGGAAAAGTGAACTGGAGGTGGAAATCAGAAAAGAGAGAATTGACCCTTTTTTGAACCCTTAACAAAGTGTCCTGGGTAAGAGGTTGTGTTGTTGGGTATGTGTGCTATGAAGCTTAAACACTTGTCTGTCCATTCTGTATTAATCTTTTAAGAGGAAGGAAAGGGTAAAGAACGCCATTTCCCTTAACTAACCTTCCGAGCCAAGCTGCATCTCCACAGTTAGAAATGCTCAGATTTGGAGCTGGGAGACATTACCGATGTGAGTTCTTCTGTGCATATAGCACAGCAGGGGAAGGCTTCAAGGGTAGTGGGTAGGTTTCTTCCTGCCCCCTTAAGAAATGTCTACCCTTGTCCCTTTATTCAGACCGGCCTAATCAGCCCTACATGGATCCTGTTTCAGGCTGAGGGAACAATTCCTCTAACTGGGTAGAAATACACCACGATGATTTGTTTGCAAGTTCCTCCTGCTGCAAGCAGTGTTTTACTTCACAGTACACATTTTGTGCAGTATTTGGTAGATCTGTTGGATATCATTTAACCAGTTCACTTAAAAGTTGGTTGTAATTTAGAAATTGCTGTGAAATTAGCTACATTTTTGTATTTATTATATATGCATATTTACTGTTGAAATCTCAATGCCTCCCTTTTCTGATAAGGGAAGAAATTTGAAAATACAGAGATGTTTGGCCAGTACCCACTTCAGGTTAATGGCTTCAAAGATCTGCATGAGTGCCTAGAAGCTGCCATGATTGAAGGAGAAATTGAATCCTTACACTCAGAAAATTCTGGGAAGTCTGGCCAGGAGGTGAGTGATATACTTAGACTTCTAGAGACATCTGTAATCCTTTCCATGATGCTGACTAAGCTTAAAATATAGATGACACAAATGCAAAATATTTTGGCAGGTCATTTTTTTACTCTGATAAGGTTTGTATCCTGTTTCAGCCCAGAGGTTCATACATTACATATTTATTTGGATCATCACTGATCTGGAAAAAAAATCAGAGATAAACATGGGATTCATTTTTTCTTTCCTTTTTGTTTTTTATATTTAATGGAGGTTGATATCATTTCTTGGGCTGTTTATCCATTACCCTTAATTATTGATGAATTCAGCAAAATGATGTTCCCAAGCACAGGGAAATACTTTGGAGGGGGAAAAGCAATTGGACATTTTGCCAGGCTTATGTCATTTTTCTGCCTCCCAAGGCATTTTTTTTCCTTTGGAATTTGATTCAGCTACCTTTGCTGGCTGAATACATGAAATATATATTGTTTCATTACATCTAAATGTATACTTGTTCAGCATATGAGATAATAACTGCCAGTGTTATAAATGCTTTTTTATTTGAGTAGATTATCATGCTTTGCATTTAACCATATAAACTGAGAAGCAGTCAAATGGAATAATACCATTTGTTCCAAGTGTGAACAGATCTCATAATTGTGTTTCAAATCCATGCATTTGTTGTATGTTTGTAGTTATCACTTCTATAGCACTTTTAAACTGTGAAGTTGTCATTTGATTTATCTCTGCAGTAGAACTGAAGATAGATGTAGATTTGCTGTAGCCAACCCAGCAAACTTTCTACTTAATAGTTTAATTATATTTATCTAAGTGGAGAGAAAAACGTGTTTCTTGCCCTATAAGTAAAAAAGCTGGATTGTTCTTCATTATAATGTTTAAAGCAGAGGTCCTAGTCTGACCTTCAGTAATTCCCCAAAAGATCACATCCTCTTTCTCTGGCTATCCCTTTCCAGGGATTTTCAGGCTTGTTTACCCATTCCCAATTTGGAAAGGTTGCACTGTCTGTCCTAAGGCTTGCTTAATGGCAGTAAGAGTGTTAAGCTATAGTGTGCTGGGTTTTAAAAAGTTTTGGGCATTTTGGCTCTGCCTCTTTCATTGGTCCCACCTATGACTGGAATGTGACCCCCAAAATCACCTTCAGTTTGTAAATTTGTGCCTGGGCTGAAAAAGGTTTTGTAAGTTGACTTAGGGTGCAGATCTGTGGCAAAGCCTGTAAGCCCTGGAACTCAGAGGCATGTGGTCATCCAATACAGAGTGAAAGAGACTATGTCCACCTTCCCATCTTTGCACTCTGTCTAGCTAGAGCACCTCAGAGCAAGAGGGAAGGAGGTTGGAGGGTTGCCAGGATAACTTGTATTCTGGCCTCTTCAATTGCCTCCTTTTTCCATCTGCTGGAATGTCTCTTTTCTCTCTCCTCTAAGCTTGCCTTCCCTACCTGAGAGAACAACTGGTGCAGTTCTTTCTGTGCTGGCAGTGAGAGAGCACAGAAAGACTTGATTGATTGATCGATTGATTGATTGATTGACTCATTGTGCTAAGCAGATCCTTCACTTGCCATAGTCATTTTCTCTCAAATATGAGAGATTTCTTTACCAAATTTATTATATTTATATCCTGCTTTATTCCTCTTGAAAGGACCCTAAGGTAGCATACATGATACTTCTCCTCTCCATTTTTTGTAGTGTCAAACTGATAGACACTGAGGAATAAATATTTACAGGAGAAATATTCACTACTACTGAATAATAGAAAAACGTTAGAAATACGTCACAGCAATCTGTGTACTCACAAAGAAAACTGTCTTGCATCTGTGCCCTCCAAATTTAACTTGAGTTCTGGAAAGTACATTTCATTACCATTAAACTATTTATTTATTTATTTGATTTATATGCTGCTCTATTAGCCATAGTCTCTCTGGGCAGCTTACAGTAATGCTGACATCTTAAAATGGGATGGTGGACACTTAACATTTTTAATAATAAGACTAAACATGCTTTTTGGGGCACCCTCCCAGTTAATCTTATTTAAAAAATACTTCCCACCTAGAGAAGATATGTGCATTTGTTTCTAAAGACAGTTCTTTACGAATAGCAGTTAGCTGCTCACATATAGCTAGAGATCTTTCCGAAATGATTGGGCTATCTTTGTAGATAACATCATTTGTGTTTTTCATTTTTTTGTCCTGATCTTCTCTAAGGTTCTAGGATAACATCTTTCTCAAAGAGTTTCTCAATGCAATTACTGCATCCAAAGTTCAGCCTAGTGAGTTGGAATAAAGAAAGCAGATCTGTTCACTTTCTAGAAAAGCAGACACTACAAAATTGAAATTTGTATGCATCTGACACATTTTGATTATTATATGCCAAGGTCAGTAATTTAGATTAAATACGTGAATAAAGCAAAGAGAAAAAGTATGGAATGCTTTCCCAAATTGTAAGATAGTAATATTATGCTATTTTAGCATCTTAATCAAATTAATTTTCAGCTTGGAACAAAAGGCATTTTGCACTACATTCCATTCAGAGTTATCAGTAATACGAATAAACAAGAAAGTCATTAGTTGTGATCTAGAAATACATTAGTGTAGAATTATCAATTAGCAGTAGAGGCAAGATGTCATCTGACTTTAAATCAAAGGAAAAGATTTGATTGATTAAATATTAATCTGAATGTAGTTCATTATTGTACCACTGTGGTGCTTATAAAGTGTTGTATAAAATAATCCTAATCTTGACTAAAAAGAAAACAGACCTTTTTTTTAGAAGCAAGCTTAATAGCAGTGCTTTTGTCCCCATGTGTGGAATACAAAACATGCTAGTCACACAAGCTTTACTAGAACTATACTTGTGTGGTTTTAAATTCTGGATCTGTATGAACTCTCTGAGTAAAAATTTCATCATATGTTTAACTGACTTTCTGGCATTTATTGAAAACTGCTTGTTAATAGATAAAACTAATTATTTGAAAGCAAATAAAACTTTTTAATCTATTATTTTATTTAGCTTGTTATACAGCTTAAAAGATGATGTGTCATGGAAAGTTTACTTTCACATTGAAGCATGTTTTTTATTCAGATGATAAAGTTGAAAGGCTATTCTCTTCTGTGGATCATGTGGTTAAAATGTTATCATTTTGTGTTTTGTTTTACTCAGCACTGGTTTACTGAGCTTCCTCCTGTCTTAACCTTTGAACTTTCAAGATTTGAGTTCAACCAGGCTTTAGGAAGACCTGAAAAGATACATAACAAATTGGAGTTTCCTCCAGTTTTATACCTGGACAGGTACAGAACCTTGTATAAATATACAAATAAAGTGTACTAATATTAATTTCTGAATGCATACATATAAAGCAAAGCAGCATCCTTTGTGAAAAAATGCAAGTTACTAAATGTGGAAATTGCAAAGCCAAAATGAATCAATATATATTCTGAGTTCAGTAGTATACAGATATCGCATGTGATTTTTTTTTTAAATATGTCTTGGTCTTATACAACTTCGCTTTTGCTCTGTATTGGCATTGCATTTCCAGCAAAGCTAACTTTATTGTTTGATTTAAATATGAATACAGTTCAGTTAAATATATTTAAATGCATCTTCATGAAGCTTTCAGATTGTAGATGAACTGGAAATAGTTCTCATGAATTTTCCTTCAGGAAAGGTACAATAGAGACAGGTACTTACAGGGTTAAGGATAGGATTCTGTCCATATTTCCTGTTCATTGCTTTACAGTGGCCAGAATTGTATCTATTGGGAGTATTCTATTTAGATAAAGGTATTGTTAGCTATCTTGAGCTTTTTCAATCTAAATGTTCAGTCAGATGAACAGTCTGAAGTAATTGATCCATAATAACAGAGGGTGCTTCTTAAAGCAGTTACTAAGTATGTACCAAACTCAGCTTCAGGGTAGAGTGGTCTTGGCCTTGGTCTGGATCTCTTCTCTGTCATGAAATACTATTTTCAAAAGTCAGTCAGTTTTGAATGCTGTACCTAGTATTTGACTTGATGTTGTAAAATCCATACAAACTATTGAGCCATCTCCCTGCCTGAACTTACACAGGTGGTCCTGATGTCTGCATGGCATATGGACTTGATTGACTTCATTGTACACCTTGCCTGGTACAGCTTACCCAGTCCAGCAGGACATATAGTGGACTTGGTTTTCTGTAGTGGTTTAGTGGACAATGATTCATGGATCAGGGAGTTCATAATACCTCTGTTGTCATGAATGGATCATTATGTAGTCAAGCATGACTGATTAGCACTCTTCACCTTGCATGGGCAAGATTTGCCTAAACCAGTGAGAGCCAGTGTGATGTAGTGGTTAAAAGTGCAGGCTTAGGACTTAGGTCATCTGGGTTCTAGTCCCTGCTCAGCCATGGAGCCAACTGGTCGCCCAATCTACCTTGCAGGGTTATTGTTAGGTTAGGATTGAGAGCCACAGGAGGAATATTATGTGAGCAACTTGGAATTATTTTTAAGAAAAAAGCTGGGATATAACTCAAAGAACGAACGAATGAAAGAAAGACAGAGAGACAGAGACAGACGGGTGGACAGACAGCTTCAGAACTGATAGGTCCAAATGATTTCCTGAAACCTCTAAGAAGGTCCTGCAGTTTTAGGTGATGATTTGTTTTCAAGCCCTGGTCTCTGCTTGAAAGTTGGCCTAGGACTTTAGTATATTTTTTCCTAACTGTCTTCAACCTAATCATAGACTGTATCATTCTGAGGAGATGAAGTCTATGCAAATGGTTGGGTCATCTACGAGGCAAGTAGCAGCCAAAAAGATAAATAAATAGGGAATGATCAAATACAGGTGAAAGATAAAGTTACTTTTCTGGCACTGCTGCAGCTACTCGATGTTGGTCAGCAGAGTTTTTCTGAGTGGTGAAAGGCTTGCTCTCTGATGGGTTAGGAAACCAGGTAGAACCCATGAAGGCTTCCTGTGACAAATTTGCATTACATCTTTCAAAGTTTCTCATTCTGATTTGCATGTCATTACTCTGACAGAGTCAGAGATGGATGTGACAGTGGTTTCATTTATGTGGTACTACACAGGTTATGTGGTACTGGACAAGTTTTGGCTTGTGTGATGATGTAGATGAGCTCCCTGCTGCTTTGAGGCTAGCCATCTGCTCTTGGAATGCATGCACTTGCTGGAAGCAAAATCCAGGGCTAATTTAACCCTCAAAGGTAGTGATTGCCTCTTCTTTTAAGGGCCAGTTCCTCTCATGACCATTTTTCCACTCCTTCCAAACAGACGTGGACAAAGCTCTGGTGATCACTTTTAAAACCATACATGACTTAGGGTCAGATTATTTGAAGGACTGCCTACACCTATATAAATGTGCTCATGCCTTAAAAATGACCACAGAAGCCCTATTCATGTGCTGACTCATGTTAGGCTAAGGGAACCCTGACCCCAGAAACTTATGGGACACCCTACCACAAGATGTGGCTCCCTCTTTTTTTAATCACTTGAATGTTCCAGAAGGCTTTTAAATGAATACACACCCATTTATATTTTATGAATGAGTTCTTATTCCTATTATAAGTTTCAGGCTGCAGCTTTACTTAATTTTGTACTTTATGCTATATTTTTCACTGATCAGAAGACAGTGTAAGAGTATTTTAGATTGTTATGAGGGCAGTTACTAATAAGCCTAGAGAATTAAGTAAGAATTTAACAATGGGAAATGGTTTAGAAATCTATCCATACCATATTTTTTCACTTGCTAAGTCAAAACTTAATTCTATGTTATTTGGGATGTCACCAACAGATTAAAATGTTATAATACAAAATGTTAAGGGTTATACACTAATGTGCATGCTCAGTATTAAAGTGTTACATAGAACAACTTCTTTACCACTTCTTGCTTTGACAGATATATGCATAGAAACAGAGATATAACACGAATAAAGCGGGATGAAATCAAGAGACTTAAAGAATACCTCACAGTATTACAGCAGAGACTAGAACGGTAATATAGAGCATTCTTCTAATATGAAATGCAAGTCATGGAGAATTGCTGGTGTACTAACTGGAAATCTGCTTTGTTTCCATGCATTTTTTCCTCCAAACATTAACTTGTATTACTTTTTTGTTATTCTACTTTATCTATTTTTCATTTCTTATTAATTTAGACTAATGATTTAGACTGAAAGTGATATTTCATTCGGAGGAGTTTCTTTTGTTATGGGAGTATAGATGTGTAGGGTCTGCAGGATCCTTTCCGACCTTCCCATTAACTTTATCTAGGCAGTCTGTATGTGGATAACTCAAGCGCATGATGAGGAGTGTTCCCATTTCACGCTCTTCCCTTGTTGCATCTGCCAGCCTCTATTTCTAAACAGTCTAAAGAAGAGAGTGTCTTCTATCTGTGGAGCCTTTTCAGTCAGAATGCTGGGAAGTCTGCATTCTGTGTTGCATGGAAAGGCTCCATATTTAGGATTCCCTGATAGGAATATGTGTGTGTGAGAGAGAGAAAATGGGAAGCTGTTTTACTCTAAGTTAAAACATTGATGTACAGATCTACCTCAGGATTGTCTATGCAGACTAACATCACTTCTTCAGGGTTTGAGATGGGATCCTTACCTGGCCCAGCCTGTGGGTTAAACTGGGGACCTCAGGCATGTATTGAGCTACATCCCTTCCCATTAATAAAAGTTCGTTCATAGACCAGGATCCCCAATTTATTTGGGTTGCTGGGCATATCAGACTATCAACAAGGATGCCTGTGGGCCTATTTGTACATGTGGGCACTATGATAGAGACTCCACTAATAGACAATGATATTAATAAGTTGTTAATGCATCTGTTATTGGAGAACATGCTTCACACTTTATACTAGCTACATTGCCTTCTTAATCGGTGGGAGTGTGTTTTATGTACACTGGCTCCCAAGGGCTATTTTAATCAATATACATACATGACAGCTGTTATTTTGAAACACTTACCTGGGACAAGTTTGGCTTTTGTTGTCTACTAGAACTACACTGTGATCCTTATTCTCTGGAACTGCAATTATCTATACAATATAATTTTATGAATTCTAGAAATATAATTCGTGTTGTGGGAAGTCTTTTTTATATAATGAAGGTATTGATATATTCTGACAGGTATTTAAGTTATGGTTCCGGTCCAAAACGGTTCCCCCTGGTAGATGTCCTACAGTATGCACTGGAGTTTGCATCAAGTAAGCCGGTATGCACGTCTCCTATTGAGGATCTTAATTCTAGTGCTCTTCCTTGTGGTACTTTGCCAACACAGGCAATTCCAAGGTAATAATGCCTTGTATGTATTCGGTATTTTTGGTTGTAACTTGCTTAATTGCAGTTATTTATTTACTATATAAATTTATTTATTTGGTCAGTGCTAGATATTCTTATTTAAATGTCATTTATTCATTTTATTCATTTAAACTTTATTGAAAACAGTTTGGTGTATCAACCTTATGCTTTTGGTACCAGCAACCTGTTTGAGATACCTAGAAATTCAGTAAGGGGAGAAAAAATAATAATTCTCACAGAAACGGCAGTTTCATAGTATTCTAGAATTTCTTTCTTTAAACGCATTTTTAATGATGCAGTGATATTAGCTTTCCAGAAAATCATTGATATATTAGGTTTTATGTATGTGCATGCATAAAAATACGTCCTTCAGTAGCTACATTCAGATACTATTCTCTGCAAGACATATCTTAACCTTCCATCAGTAAGGAAAATGAATTATATCAATTAGATATCATGAAAGCTATACAAATAAGAATTAGCATGTTGCCTTTTCTAGCAAAACACAACAATTTTCTCTCCCTAAGTTTGTAAAATGGATAGAACAGGTTCTGAACATTTGTAGACAAAGCAGGTAACTATTTCTTTTAAACATCATTTGATGGTGCTATTTGAAACCCCTAGCATGAACATGTGGATTTTTAGTTGTCTTAGTTATTCAGTTCAGGTGGAATTAACATAAACAATGCAAATATCAGTTTTTCACTAAAAAGAACTGGGCTAGGCTTGACATAGCAGATGGCAGTTTGTACCTTATACTTGCTGAGAACTTGTCTGAAACATCAAGTTGTGAAAGACTGATACAGTCATTCTAAGCATTTTTTCAGGATTGCAGGATGTGTTTGACCCTACTTGTTAATGGAGAGTTAAAGATCATTCTCAATTATTTCCAAATTCAGAGACTATTTATGAATGAGTAGTATGTTTTCAACTGATCTGTGGATTTAAGGTGCATTTCTGTGCAAGCTTAGACAGAAAAAAGGCCTACATCTCCAATGGCTGGGGCATGCTAGTAATTGAAGGCCATTTTCCCATGTAAATTTGTATAGAATTGCATCTTTAATTTGCTTGTATTGAATATTTCACATTTTTAACACATTCAGCACAACAGAACAGCAGGGGCCTTCTACAGAAACACAAAGCACATCACCTGCACAGCGATCGGTGATACACAAGCCATTCACACAATCTCGGATTCCTCCAGACCTGCCAATGCATCCAGCACCAAGACATATAACTGAAGAGGAGCTTTCAGTGCTAGAGGGCTGTTTACACCGTTGGAGAACAGAAGTAGAAAATGACACTAGAGGTATGGGCTGGGCAGTTGGGTTGAGACTAGGGATTCACAAATATCCTTGCCACTAAAGTGAGTAACTTGTAAGAGTCTGCCCTCTTCTGCAGCATGAACAAAGGAGAAGGACATTGCTGACTTTTCATAGAGGTTTAGGATGAAAGGGATGATCCATAAGCCCTCCTACCCAATTTAGGCAAGGGCTCAAAGTGAAGCTCCATGGTTTCAATAATCTTCAGACAGTATGCCTTCAGCAGAGAGATGGAGTTCTTAAGCCCAGATTTTGACTGTTTACATAGCCAGTCAAAACTTAAAACCCTCTAGCTATGAAAATAGAAGTTTTGTAAAGGTATCATTGATAAGGTAAAATATGGGAAGCCTGGATTGTATGATAGCAATTTCAGTGTGCTGGGTATAATGGACAGTGCTATATGGTTGGGCAGCGATGGAGTAGGTAAGCACATGCATGTATGTGGAACTGACCCCTACACAATTTAAGTGTTGTAGTTGTCTGTATGGCTGTTTAGTGATGCTCCAATAGTAGACATTCATGCGTGATATTTGAAAAAGGCTTTACAATGTTGGGAGCCTTATAAATGGTGGAAAATATTAGATTAATTATTTATTTTTCTTAAGAAAATTGGGCATATTTTGTGAAAGTGCATATAGACTATTAAGAATGATATTAGATGCAGTCCTGAAAATGACAGAACCCCCACTCTAATAATTCATACTACTGAAAAAAGCCAGTAGTGGTGTAACTGTGTTGCAGGAAATCACTTTATTTTCCTCTTAATTTAGACTTGCAAGAAAGCATATCTAGAATACAGCGGACAATTGAATTAATGTACTCTGATAAATCAATGGTGCAGGTAAATACCGTTTCTGTATTACATTAATGGCTATGAGAGATTCTTATTTCCATGAAATGCTTACATTTTGGGGGCTACAGTTATTTATTATGTTTGTATCCCTCCTTTTTCCTTTCAAAGAACTCAGGTCAGATTATATAATTCTCCTTTTTTCAATCTTATCCTCACAACAACCTGTGCAATAAGTTGAGTTGAAAGTCTGTGACTTGCCCAAACTCACCCAGTGAGCTCCATGGCTGAGTGGGGACTAAACCCCGATCTCCCAAAACCCAGTCCAGCACTCTTTTTTCCACTGCCATAAATTCACTTAGAAAACTTTGAATTGGTCTGGCATAAGAGATTTAAGGATGAAATGGGTGTGAACACTAGAGACCAAGATAAGCTATTATATTAAAGAGATATTTCACACATAAGGGAATACTAATACATATGTTGAGGTAATTATTTGCCTCAGGCTAAACCCCCTAAACCTTCATCCCAGCCAAATACTCAACCAGATATAGCTCTTGAATAGTCTTCCTCTGAGTCCTAAAGTTACTCTTGTTGCTGGCTGCATTGATTTTTTTCTGGGTTTAACCTATGCTTATGTAACCTCCTTCTGGCAAGACTTTAGGGCAGCCTGCTAGAATAACATAGCCACCTGCTTCATACTACTGATTTTCACCAACCTTGTATGATTATATTTAGGTTTTAGTATTCACTGTCTCCTGGTCCTTCCATAACACTACCCAACAACCAGTAGAGCTTGTTCTTTACAGACTGCCTATAGATTCATTCAACTACTAACTGTCAGCTCCTTAACTGTCCTTTCCCAGATTTTCTTTTCCACTTAGGTAGAATCCCCAGTAAATCAGAACTGAATTTACCTTATCAGTAGCAAAACTGATCATCCCTCTCTTCCCCTTTCAAAAGTTACTAAGCAACTACTACACAGTGCTTAACAGTAACAGTGGATGACCTACTCAAATACATTATTGTCCCTCAGAGGCTTCACAAATTACAGAACAATGACAGTTATATACATGGCTTTTCTTCAAAGTGGTCCACTTTATTGTATATTTTAAACTAGATTTTCAGCCATTTTATTGCACACACTTAATCTAAGGGATATCTTATCAACTTTTAGATATGAAAATCACACAAAACGTACACGGCATTGCTGTGGCAGTAGGTGCACTTTAAATATTCAGGTGAACTTAAGGGTAGTTCAAAGTCACTTGAAGAAATTGCCTTGCAGTCTTGTGACTAGTAGAATAACTCTTTATATGCTCCATTGAGGAACTTTATGTTGTATTAAGTTCACTTATATGAACACTTAACTAGGGAGTAAGTTCTATTGAATGCACTAAACTTATGAGTGAGTTGAGCTATGAACATGGAAAGAGTAAGCTTTGGACTTGTGAATGTCAGTGTTATCTACTAAATTGTGACAGATGGGAGATTTTGGGCTGATGAGCAGTGTAGAAATATAATAGACAAATAAAATGTGAAGGAAGGCAGCAGAAAATGGTAGTGTTCTTGTCTAAGCCTTGAACTGGCAGAAGGAACAAGTATAGCTAGAGTACTTTATGGAACTGGAATAAAGGAAATGTAACTAACATGTAACTATGCACTATCTTTTCTGTCTTGATCTGTCTGATTATTTTATTTATTTACTCATCTTGTATTCTGCTAAAACTAGTCCAAAGACACTCTAAGGGAATTGCACTCTCATTATCTTAATACATCCTGTTCATTTTCCTTTTATTAATTATGACTGAACTCACTAATCCTTACCCATTGATTTTGTTAGGTTCCTTATCGGTTACATGCTGTATTAGTTCATGAAGGCCAAGCTAATGCAGGACACTATTGGGCATATATTTATGACAGTTACCAGAGGAAGTGGATGAAATACAACGATATTTCTGTAACAAAGTCTACTTGGGAAGAGCTTGAGCGTGACTCGTTTGGTGGTTATCGGAATGCGAGTGCTTACTGTTTAATGTATATAAATGATAAGGAACCATTTTTGATACAAGGTAATACTATGCAGTATACAGTACTGCTGCTTGCAGGTGAATTGTTTCATTAAACCTGGTGAATATGTAGCTGCTGTAATTCTTAATATCTTCCTGATACATAAATGGGTGGGCGAACCATGAAGCACTACAGATTTGTAATTTGGACATATAGTGCAATGATTTTGTTTTAACAAATCATTCCTTAAATAAAAGGAGTTTCACATATAAAACAAATGTGAGATGGTTTTATTAAGGATTTGCAGCAGTGAATAAAAATGGGTGTTTTCCCATTTTCATGGACCGCTTTCTACAATGGATGTACACATGTGCATGTGCACACTGCCAGTAAAATCCTCATCTGGAGGGAAAGTAGCAGGTACAGTCTAGGTTGCAGAGTAAAAAGAAGGAGCAGGACAAAGCTTAAGTTCTTGTCCCAGTTGATTTTCTCCTGACCAAATGTGGTTTTGCTTTGTGCTGTTTTACATATTAGCAGAAAACATAGGCTAGACACCTTAAAAACTTTCTCTCATAATAAATACCATAACAACAATGCTGACACAATTGCATTGTTATCAAGAAGGTATTAATGTGATATAACACTGGGGTCTCCAACCAGTATTCCTACAGAGACACCTTAGCGCCTTTCAGGCTCGCTGCTGCTTTGCATTTTAATTGCTCCTTAAAGGCTTGGTCTTTGAAATATTTGGAAGCTGACATGCTGCAAAGCAAACTGCTGACCTGCAGTACCACCCTTATTTGAGTTCAAAAGAGTGGCTTAGTGTTTTGGAAATCGGACTACATTTCTGCCCTGTACTTAGACAACCATTTTATGAATCCAAAAGGTTGGGGATCCTGATGCACCATGCTAGTGTACCCATACTTCTGTGAATTCACAAAATTCACTTAAGAATTTTCAAATCACACATGAAAGTCTTACTTTATTAAAATCTTGCTTTTAAATAGTCTTGCTTTTAAGCAGTGAATGAAATAATGGGAGTATGTTGCTTTTCATGTTCTTTAATATATTTTGCACACATTTTGTGTGCTGTTACAGAGGAATTTAACAAGGAAACAGGCCATATGGTTGTTGGAATGGATACATTGCCTCCTGATTTAAGAGATTATGTCAAAGAAGACAATAAACGTTTTGAAAAAGAGTTAGAAGAATGGGATGCACAGATTGCTTTGAAAGCACAACAGGAAAAGGCAGTAACATCCCAGCTGTCCAGGGTGCCTGTGCCTTCTGCTGTGCAAGGTCAGTAAAGAAAAACTATAATTTTTTTGCCCATCAATATCCCAATCTGTGATCATTCTACTGGGAATGTGAGAGGATAGATCATCTGTTAAGCAGTGAATGGAAGAGTGCTTGATTGTGCCTTGCTATTCAGATTTATGGCTGCTGTCTGTTTCCTTTCTGTATCTGCCTGTGAGTTTGGTAGGGCATGCAAACAACTTTTTACATATTGATATGTTTAACTAGTTTGAGAAGATTTGGAAAAAAAATCAGATTTCCTAGCCTTAGTTGTAATGCTTCTGTTCTATATTTGCAGTTAGGTATCATCAGAAATACATAGCTATCAGTGTCTCTCATTTGTTAAACTTCATTTGAAATTACATTACATGAAAACTGTATATATAAAATTGAACTACATACTAATGCTCTGGTTTTAGTAGTATTTAATGATGAGATTTTTGCAGTTGATAAGATCCATAATATTCTTACATGTGGGAGATAAAAGTAAAATTACATTTATTGTTTTTGCTGCAGTAGTTCCCACTGTAAGAATAGAATTTTAAAACCAAACAAAGACTTGTTTCAGGGGCTTTTAGGACAAGTTCATGTGAACCGTTTACTTGAACTTGATCCCTGCTGAGCATATTTTCTCAGAAAGAATCTACTTGGTCCAGTCCCTAGTAGACATCATACTTTTGTATTTTGCCATCCCTCCCATTCTAGGAGAAGAACCAGAATATTTGGAACAGCCATCAAGGACTGATGTTGCAAAGCAATTGAAAGAAGATTCTATACGTGCAATCACAAAAGCATTCACTGATCAAGAAGATAAAAGTCCTGATGTGATTATGAATTTGGTAAAAAATCCAAAATACTTTGCCCCTTTATATGGATTGGCTGTTTAGTATGATGTGCCCAAAAAGTTGCCCACCCCTACCCCTTTCTGCCTGCACAGCTGGTGGAACAGTTTAGAAGCTTTTGCTTCAGCTTTTAGTTGACTACAGTTTGTCATGGTATGTATGGTTGAAGACCGTTCCACTTTGACTGTTCATATGATGACCAGCAAGGAAAATTCCTTTTACTTCCTATAATAATAAAAATACTTGAATTTAGCCCTAATTATATGCTTAATTAATTTCTTACTTTTTAAAACAAATATCTACAGTAAACTGACTATTTTGCTCTCATTGTTTTCAACTTTCATGGTGTGATATTTGCGTAAGTAATGCAAGAGTTCAGGGAACCTGATCCAGTAGGATTTCGTGAAAGCAATACCATTACTTTCTCTACTTTAAAGCACCCCTTTCCCCATTCCTGCCCCCCCCCAATAAAAACAAAACTTGGGAGCAGATCTTGTAGGAATGCAGGTAAACTGTGATGTTCCACTTCTGCTTATGGCCTGATAGACTAGAACCCTTTGACCTGCTTTTTACTTTTAGGATTAAAAAAATCAAGCATTCAAGCATCTTAACAGACCAAGTTTTGTTTGAGAATGCACTGTGGAAAGTGTTGGGCTTCCAAATTCATTTTTCATTCTCCTTCATGGACAAGGAGAGAAGGTTTAAAGATACCCTTTACAGTATCTTTAAAATACTTTTGCATAAGTAGTAAACATTTTGTTTCCCATTTTTCCAAATATAGCCCACATTTGAATTGTTAACAAACAGTGGTATGTATTAATAAAAATGGGGAGTTTTGAATTGCTTCCTCTCAGTCACAGACAGGAGGACGGAGGACAGGGATGGGGGAATGGAAGCCTGAGATTAATTGTGGTGCATTCTCTACACAAGAAATCTGAATGTTGCCACTGAATCACTTGCTTTGTTCAAGATTACAGGATAAGTGCTGAAAAAGAGGAAATAATCACAGTGATAATTAATTGACTGCCTACCTACCAGAACAAGACAGAATATTATCCTTACATCAATCTGTGGCTTGCAGCATATGTACTTTCTGAAGTACACAGAATTTTATGTTACCAGCTTAATATGTTTGTGAAATTTTGATGTCAGTGAAGAATGTGGAATATTCTTTCCTGTTTTATGTGTTAAATTAATGGTTCATAGTTTAATCAGAGATTCAAATACAAACACATCCAGATGCATCCAACTACCATAATGTATGTTTGTATGCATGTGCACATCTGTGCACACACTCCCATTTCTGTATGATGCATTCAGATTATACAGCAGGTAGCTCTCATGAACTTAACCTTGATAGGTATATTGGTACATTTTTCCTTGCCAGCAGCTGGATGGATACATACACATTTGCACTGTTCCCACATAGCAACCCCAATTTTTAGATTTCTGTGTTGCACACCTAGCAGCCACAATGCATAGCAACACTTACATGGGAACAAGGGTTGTCAGAAATTGCACTGCTGTGCAAACAGTGCTTGCTGCAAGGCAGTCTGCAGGCTTGCATGTCACAAACTGTAGGGAAAATAATTTGCAGAATGATGTTGGCATGTTGCTGTTCAGAGGACGCGTGCCACAAACTACATAATTACTTAGCCAGTTCTGAGGCTATATAAGCTCTCCTTTTTGAGCAGTAAGTAGTGTTCTCTACTATTGTCCTGTCCTATACAAAAGATTTGCAGACAGTTTATAAGCCCCAAAGTATTCACCACAGCAGTACTGATACCGAAGCACTGTATTTGAAACAATTCAACCTGACTCTAGTTGGTTAGCATATTTATTAGTTCAGTTACATATGTGACATGTACACCTGAACTACACTGACCTAGTTTGCATGACATGACTATCCACCATGAGTCATGGTGGTTTGTTGAATCATTTGAACCAGATGTGATTCTGCAGGGTAAAACTTGCAACCCCCGCTCCTGAAAATTCCTGGTGCCTTCTTGTGCCATCTTTACTTAACAGAGCAACCAGATAGTGGGTATTCCTGGTAATGGTGCAGGGAAAAAAAATCATGCCACTCACTTTTTTTGTTCTTGATAGTGGCTGCTCTTCCACCAGTGTGGAAATGTTTCTTCAGAAGGACAATTGCTTTTCTCTGGTCTTTTTATTTTCAGTGCTTCAGAATGTGTAATTGAAGTAATATATTTAATATATATATTGGTGTTTTACAAGTGGCTTTCAATATTAATATTGACAAAATGAGGTTGCCTGTTGGCTACTTTGAGCACAGTTTGAAGGAACAGTAGAGAAATGACAGAAAAAGGATGATCCTGGTAGCACAAGTCAGAAGCACTGAAAATGTGGGGGAAACAAATGCAACAAGAGGAAGCGAGTCACAGTATCTCCTTTTGGATATGTGATCCTCCTAGTTTTAAGTATTAAACTGACACTTCTCAGTGTCTTCTACCATGCCAACACTTCTTGAGTCTATAGCTACTATAGAAAGGGTAGATATTAATACACACATGCATACCATTTCGAAGCACTTACCACTGAGGTTTCTTTTTAGACTGCAAAAATTTCCTCAAATTTACTGGCTGGAAAGTAAATGGAGAGAAAATTTGTGGACCTGCATTAACTGCTCCATTACTGCAGGTGCACTTATTTCCCTTCCATGTACTTCCCAGTCATTAAATTTGTGTATATCTCTTCATTTTAGACAATTTTAGACAACAGCAGGCAGTAACATTTGTTAGCATTGTCATAGTAACTTCTGTTGGTTTGATTAATCTGTCACATTTCTGATTTTTTTTCTCACATTCTGTTTTTCCCCCTACAGAATTCTGATAGTGCCCCAGTGTCGACAAACCCTAATCAGAAAGTTGTTGAGGTGGCAATCCCTGAAGTAGGGACTTATGTGGTTGAGTCAGAGGAGGGGGGTTATGATGATGAGGTACCACTTTTGCTTCATCACAGATACTTGCATCATTCATGTGCTAAAGATAGCTGCTGTCTTTGGCATGCTTGCTCTCAATGGCACTTAAATGTTTTCTCCCTTTCTAAACACCTACCTTTTACTGGAGGCTGAAAACTGAATTGTTAGATACTGCATAATGTTTCTTATGGCATGTTTTGCATGGTGTGAAAGTTAACTCTGACTAAGGTCATCCTCACAGTCCATTTTAATGTGATATCTTAAATCTGTTGTAGGGGTTCAATGGCCCACATTAAAGATTGACTTGAAGTAAGATGTAATTTATTTTGAAATAATCTCAGTTTTAGATAGAAAACAAAACAAATCTAAATTCCCTTAATTAGGATTTTCAACAGACTACAACAGTGCTTTATAAGGAATTTGTGTTTGTTTTCAGTATGCAAAAAATACTTCAAAACAAAAATAATCCACTTCAGTAAAATATAATTTATGACAATGCTATTTGTCTGACTCTATCTATCTATCTATCTATCTATCTATCTATCAAGATACTTTTATCCCATCCAATACGGTTTGTCTCTTTTTTGAGAGGTTGCTGGGACAGAATAGTTCTCAGCTTGAGTGCTTTCATATTCTTTTCAGTAAGGTTACATTGCACTCCTGTCAGCCTTTGAAAATTAAACACAACTTTTTTAAACATGGAAAAGGAGTAGGTATGGGAATACCAAACAACAGCTGAAGCCCTAATTGGTAAGGGCTCATCAGTGTTAGGTGATGAGCATTTTAAAGTTGTGTGTTTCCCAACTTAAGTCTCCAGCATCACTGAATAGGGCTAGGAAACAATCCTGTCTGGAAGCCTGGAGAACTGCTGCTAATCCATGTCAACAGCTGTGGGCTACCCACACAATTTCCTGTGTTCAGTGGAAAACTGTGGTGGAGAAAGACCACAGACAGGCTGTAAGCCCCAGTCTCTCAGCAGAGTTGATGGAATCGACCCTGCTGCCCCATCTTTAAAGCATTCCTTCTAAGAACATAAAAAAGCCATGCTGGAAGGTCTGTCTGGCCCAGCACTCTGTCCTCTTGGTGGCAAACCAGCTTTCCACAGGATCCTCAAGCAGATTGGGTGCCAGACTTCCTCCTGCTCAAGTTTCTCAACCACTGGTGTAGGAAGGCATGCCACCTTTGGTAAAAGATGTAGCACGTAGGCAAGACTAGTAGCCACTGATAGCCTCTTCCCTCATGAATTGTTCCAACCCCTTTTTAAAGACATCCAGATTGGTAGCCATCATAGTATAACTATAAACTGTGTGAAGAAGTGCTTCCTTTTATCTGTCCTAAACTTCCCACCAGTCAGCCTCATGGAATGATCCCTGGTTTTAGTGGTATGAGAGAGGGAGAAACACCATGCATTACTTTAAAAACCTCTAACATATTTTCGCTTACTTACCTTTCTTCTGAATGAACAGTCTCAGTGATTGTAGTTGCACCTCATAGGGGAGCTGCTGCAGCCCCCTGATCATTTTGTTGTACCTAAGGCAACCCTAAGGCACAGTTGTGGCTAGAGATCAACCCTCACTATTCTCTGTTTTACTGTTCCTCAGTGTCCACTGATACCTAGTGAAGTGGGTTTCCCATGTATAGACAACATAGGTTGGGAAAGCAGCAAAAAGACAGATCTTTAAGGGTTGAAGGCTACTCCATTGGTGCCAGTTGTGAACAAGTAAAAAAATAAGCAAAGACCTGCCAAATGTTTCTGTACAGCCTGTGATTCAGAATGGATCATGGATTCTATGTGCCATCTCTCATAGTTCTCTTCTTTTTGCAATTTGATGGGGAAATTTTGTTCACTATGAGTGTGTTACAGCTTTAGTTTAGAGGGATCCCACTAGATGCATTTGTGAGGCAATAACACAACCTGAGCATCTGGCATGCAGCTACAGCCTAGATCCACTGGATCTACAGAGTTTCTGGGCAAGAGAAAAATCTACCAGCTGGTAGGTAGTCCTTTGAGATCCAGTGGGAACTTAAATGTACAGGGAGAAGAATATGGGTGTCTGAGGTAAAAGTTATTTTAAAGTAAAAGTTATTTTGAGTTCATTTTGATTATAATTGGAACCAACTTAAATACCAAAAGTGCATCTCACTACAGATATTCTATCCGCACTTCATTACTTTCAGAAATCGTACGACTCAGGCATGCAGAGGCCAAATCTGACCCTGCAGGGATCCCAGTTAAGTCTTCAGGTGTTCATAAAGGTCATGCCCAGTTCTTTGGCCCCACTCTCTTTTCTCCAACCACCAGTAGTTTGGTGGCTTCCCAGTTTTTCTTTTTTTACCCTATTAATTTAATTATTGACAGTAAGAGTTTTAAGGTAAAATACATTGGTGTTTTTGGCTCATCTTTTTTTCAGTCTTGCAATCTGTGAACATTTCCCCCCAGATAGAGCTTGTTCACTGAGCTGAATAGGGTTCTGTATCTCTGATGGAAGTTCACATTCGGTGAAAGCCAGTACAGTATAAGTAGACAGCATCTTGACTCATCTATGAATTTGTATGTGTATCTAAATAGAAAAGTTAGTGGGTTACACTTGCCCCCTGTATTTGCATAGTGCATTACTACGGAGTCATTGTGTTGTATAGTTCTCATTTGTCATCTTCTATTCTATTCTGAGCGCTCCCAGATCAAAAGGAGTGTACTATGTAGACTAGCAATGCATGTAGAGAATTGCTTCTCAGTTATAAAAACTTGACTGTTAAACTGTCTTGTGTTCTTTTACTTTTTATGTCTATGTTAAATGTTTCTCTAAGATTTAATAATATTAAATTCTGTGTCCCAAGGACTCTTCAGTGCTCTGCCTGAAGCACTGTACAGACAACCTGGGTTGGGAAATGAAATTAGGACAAGTACTTTGACAGCTTGCTTAAACAGACATGCCCATGAAAATATACAGATATAAGAATTAAGAAATCAAGTTGAACCTGAGAAGAATCAGGCACTTATACCTTGTTTAGGAATTTATAATCTCTTACAAGTGTGATTTACTAATTCAAATTGCTATCATCCCACTTTCAAGTGTCAACTCTGCATGTGTGTGAAGTTTTTTTCCCCTCTTAACTGCCTGAAGTATTCCAATTATTATTATAGCTTAAATCTAGGTTATATCATTAGTGTTTTAGAAAAGGGCAGTGATTTTTAAGGCCAAAATTTAACACTTAAATGTTTGCCATTGCCTTGTGGGCATGCACTTGCTATATCTGGCATGAGTATGTAAAGGCATATACCAATATATATTTTTAGTGTTCAGTGAATCTGTATGTATTAAATCTCCTGTAACAGGTCATGCTGTCTCCAAACATGCAAGGTATTATCATGGCTATAGGTAAAGCCACGAATGTGTATGACAGGTGTGGGCCAGAAGCTGGGTTCTTTCAGGTACAACAGTTTCAACTTTTCCTCTGCTTGTCTTTGTACTTTAACTGTAATTCAGAGTTAGACTGTTTTTGAAGTTCTTTATTTTAAATGTGTTTTGTCCAGAGAGATAAGTAAATATGATGGCATCCAAGATTTTTTAATGCATTGTTCCAACCATAAATGCAGTCAACTCACAACTTCTCACATCAAATAAATAAAAACAGAAACACAGCACACCAGTGGGAAGCTCTAGAAGGCCAGACAATGGACTTGCGGAGCTTAAACTCTGCTCTAAAAGTACATGGCTTTGAACATGTTTCATTGTGCTAAAAATCAAAAGACTTTTGTAACTTTTTATTTCTACTCTTTCTGGTTAGAAAAAAGTTGTAAAAGACAATGGGAAAGCATAGAAGGGCAATATGGGTCTGCCATAAAATGCTGTGAATTGGGGAGCAGGATTCCACAAAAAAGCCTAGACCAGAAACACTCTAGCTCCTGTTGGTTTCACTTTTGGCTTTTCAACATTAGGCATATATTATGTGCACATGATTCCTTACAGTTGTTTATGGACTTTTAGGATAAAGTTGTCATACTCCAGTTTTACTTCTGGTTTTCAGAGCAGTTCAACACTTTAAAAAAATAGGGAAAATGAGTTATTTAATTACAGTGAAGAAAGTGGTGTTCTTTTTCCTGATGTGCTGTTGTGGAATAACACAAATACATTTCCACCTCCACCTAGAGATTGTATAGTTGAAAAGCAGGGAAGGAAGAACTTTTTGTAGAGCTTGGATCTCAGTGCTGCAATGAGACATGATAAGAGCACAATAAATGCCTTGCATTTGGATTCCAGAACTCTAAGTAGGCTTGATGGCTGCCACTCTAGTCTTTAAAACAGTACAGAAAATCATGTAAGATTACAAAACAGATCAGTGTTTCCCTCGGCAACATGAGACACTATGTGTGCTAAGTCATGGTGTTCATAACTAGACATAGCTTCAGCTTGGTCTCTCCTATAATTCTGTAGTTATACCTCTTCCTTCCCTCTGAAGAAGGTGTAATGTAATTTTAAGTTCCCCCAATGCTTTCTAAACACTGTGCTTCGCTTGATGCATGGATCAAAGATCCAAGCTCTATTGCCTAGAGCCTTTTTGTGGTATATTTCATTTTCCTGGCATGCATAGTTATTGGTAGAATTCCTCATGCCAACAATGATTAATTTAATTTGTTGATGTTACATGCTGTCAAGTTATTTCTGACTTAGGGTGATTCTGTGACTTAATTCCCTCCGGAATATCTTGTCCTTGACAGTCTTGCTCAGCTCCTGTAAACTCAAGACTGTGGATTCCTTTATGGCATTGATCCATCTCATAGTCTCCCTTTAATCATGAAATGTCCTGATTAAACTTATGCAAGGGCATCTATACAACAAGTTTTTAGACCTGGCAATATGATCACGGAATCATTGTGCTCTAGCCTTATAACTTTCCAGTTTATACTACATAAAGTATTGTTTTAAGTGAACCAGAGAGGCTGGAATGATTTTAAAAGCATAGTTTTGATCCTAAGATACATTAATTTAAAGAAAGTCACAAAAAGAAAACTTCTGATTGATGTTTAAAGTGGGTAATTGTGTTGAAGAGAGGTTGAGAATTTTTAAAATATGGTTTAGATTCAAAGAAATGCACTTAAGAAACATTCCCATTTACTTCTGTAGTCAGTGATGAATTTATAATTAAAATGTTCAGTTGCTTTCTTGTGTTTTTCTAAATCTTTGGATCCTACAGCTGGTTTATACCTAACCAAAATAAATAAAATGAGAAATAATAAACATGATCACTGGTGCCAGTATCACTTGCAGTCACAATGCCATTTAAGTTGGTTTGGAGGACCCAGTCTTGGCTTAATGAGTGAGAGATATGGATGAACTTCATTGTCATGAATTAACTATAGATTCTTATTATATCAAGCCTGTGAACTATGGTTCATAGCTTAAAATATACCAAAATATTAAGCCAATTTCAGATCATGACTTTGTATTCTGAGTTGATCTGAAGTCAAATTGTCCATTCAATTTGGAAGAAATAGAAAATCATAGTTAATGAAAGATTGCCTAATTTATTTACTCACTTCTGTATAGAAAGTCAAAAGTGTTTTTCATAAGCCTGCTTACTGAGCCCATGGTATGATTGATTGTTAGTGGCTATTCCTTGCCTCCTGCCTTGCAGTGTCCCTGTTTCCCTGTCTACTGTTTTCAGCCGGAATCCAAATCCTATATGGATTCCAGATTATCTCAGATTATCTCAAACTGTATCTTCTAAAACCAGCTTATACAATGCAAAACTCACTATTGGGGAAAAAAAACCTGAGTGTTAATTTACTGGCTCCACGTGCATATCACGCTAAACTGTGGTTTATTGTAAACGAAGCAGCATGCTTGTTGTGGAGAGAGAAGCTTCAGGTGGAAGAGGCTAAATAAACCTTCCTGTGATGGTTTACTTGGTGTTCCACATGAACCAGGAATCTGGTTTATTTCTTCATCATCAAGCCAGTGTCATAAACCAGATTATGGCTTATGATGGTTATGACTTCAGCTTGTCAGCATGCTGCCTCATTCATGATGAATCACATTTTTTTTTTTAAAAAAAGAAGGTGGGTTATCATAATATATGAACTGGGCCATTAAGTAAAACGCTATCTTGCAGTGGAATCAGTATGTTTCCCTAGTAGTCTGTTCCACAGTAGTCTGTTCAAGGAGGATATGGATGGGAAAATGTTGGAGTTCACAGGGAAGGGACAAGAACCATCCATGAACATGATCTGTTAAATCCAGACTTCATTACTCTTTAGCTTTCTAAATGTTCTGTGTCTTTCTTACAGGAAAATTTGCTGGTGCTTTCTGTTGCCTTCCATAGGTTTATAGATAGTAAATGTTTCTTGTTTCTTCAAAATGTGTCTTTTCTGAATATTTTAAAAATATTAAGGTGCTCTTGAATTTGTTAACTTGGTCCAACTCACCTGTTACCCAACTGCTAGTAGATTAGCCTTTCTCAAATATCAAAGTAATATAGTCTTGTGTTGAACCAAAGAATTTTTGTTTTAATATGATCAAGGGTGCAGTCTTCTCAAATTGCACCCTTGATACCCTTGAGCCTCTGAACTCGAGGCCTTATGTGCATTCGATGCAGAGCAGGAGCAGCAGTGCAGGCAAATACTATCCCATACCTCTCACTGAATTTTGCTAGACTGACATTTTTCAACCCTCAAGCTGGGGCACTTGGGGAAAAGGAAAGAAGGAGGCTGTAGAGGCTTATACAGTGCATGCTCCCCTCCCCTCCAAAATGGCACCTTTACTCCTCTGTCCAAGGTCAACTTCCTGACCCTTAGAGACCTAGCTAGAACAGTTCTTTTCTGAACTGGAAGGATTTCTGCATAGATCTCCAAGGTTAGAACGGTTTCCTTTTAAATCTGGAATTAAGAGTATCCTGTGCCCAGCTAAACACTGTTTGTGGGGCCATAGGATCACTTCAAATACTATTCAAGGCAATGTAGTAGTAAAAACTGGTTTAATACTGTGTCTTGCACATTTTCATGAATGTTGATGACTATAACCAATTTTTAAAGCATATTTTTACTTCAAAAATTACAATTTTCTTATTGCAAGACTTTATATTGTATACACAAATAAGGCATCAAGTTACATCTTGGAGGATGGACTCATCCCCACTGAACCCAAACACTGTTCCTGACCAAGAATATTGCTGTTCTTAATGATACACATGTATAATTAAAGTAATGTAGGAACTATAACTTTTAATGTGCCATGGTACTAACTAATTAGGCTGCTAAATGTTAAATTGACAATGTGTGTCATTCTTTTGTATATAGGCAATAAAATCAGAATATGCACGGTTACTCAAACTAGCCCAAGAAGACACGCCTCCTGAGTGTGATTACCGTTTGCATCATGCAATTGTCTACTTCATCCAAAATCAGGCCCCAAAGAAAATAATTGAGAGAACATTGCTGGAGCAATTTGCAGATCACAATTTGAGTTTTGATGAAAGGTAATTATGTAGGCACTTCTGAATCAGACTGTTTACAAAACAAACTTTGAACAGAGACTTTATAGAGCACCAGTTTCTTATTTACACATGATTGTTATTCATTACTGAACTTTGACATGTTCTTCATATTTTGCATGCAGTCAAGCTCTTCTTCATAGTTTTCTTTCTTTTTGGTACAGCCTTTTTATAAAAATAATTATTTTCTTTCCTAATGTCAATGGTTTCTAGTTGATTTTTCTGTTATGATGTGCCCGTTTGTGAATGACTTCTCTCAGGTTCTAAGCCTTTTAAAATGTAGATTCCAGGGGACAGGTGCCAACTAATAAAAAGGTTCCATAGGTAACAAGAAGTACTTTTGCTGTAGGATTACATATCTCAGCCCTCCAGGAATCAACTTCTATATTCCTGCAAGTATGGTGAATTGTGATTAAAAGTTCTGGCATGAAAGAAGAGCCATCAGGCTCTACACTGGTCAAAGATGCAACGAAGCAAAGAATCTGTTAAGTCAGGGAGCACAGTCCACAGGTTACAAGCTGCTTGCTGCCTGAACTGTAAGTTGGGTCATAATGCTCAGTGGTACCCTGAGCACCTCATTCCTGTGCTAGCTTTTCCCAGCAGGAAAGGATGGCAGTGAGAACAGACAGATACACAATGCAGGCAAGAAGCTCCCTAGTGATCCTGAGCAGTGTCAAGTAGCTACCTGTTCTCTGACCAGTGCTATGCAACATCCTCCCCCACACCCACTGCCTTTGCTAGTGGGAAAGGTGAGTAGCACCACTGCGCAGATGTACTTCTGCCACCATTTGACAACAGTGCCTCGTCTTCCCTGTCTCTTTCCCTCTGTGGAACAGAAAAGTCGGTGGTGGAGGTAGTGGTGAGGATCATCCTAGTTTCACCATGTGTGACTGAGAACTCGCTGTGCTAGCTGGAGACCAGTGTCAGCTAGCAAGTGGATTTGTTGAGGCCTGAGAAAATAGGAAGGGAACTCAAGCCAGTCATTCCACTTCTGCCATATACACTGTTTCTTACTACATTCTAAATTAGCTCACCTTAGGCATGTGGTTCTGTACTTGTCTGTCCTGGGCTTAGACATTTCGAAGCAACCTGAACAATCACTGTTTCCCAAGAGGATATTTGCCTGCTCTCCCCTGTCCTCAGTAATATTTAGAAATAGTGCTTTAGCTCCACCTTGTGACGCTTAATTATAACTGTCAGCATTATGCTTCCATCAAAGGCATGAGGGAAAGGAGCTCATGTGATATAATGTCTTAAGTTAAATAAAATTCTGTGGTGCACTCTGATCTGTATCACTAAACAGAGCATATCTGGTGCTCTTTCCAATCATGCATACTGATAGCATAAATCTATTCCAAGGGTGGCTGTATTCCTCATAGTAAGCAGCACTTCAAGATGAAGGACTGTAAAATGAGGGATGGGTGACAAAAAATGCATTAAGAAGATGAAAGCAAAATACGATGAGAAAATAGAAATAGGACCATGCAAAATTAAAAAAAGGTTGGAGAAGGAATAAAAACTGCAACAACTCTGTTCTTCCTTAGACATAGAACTGTTTGCTTATCATTTTCTATTTGGCTAAACAGGTAAACTTGTTCAAGGCTGGAATTTCATAACCAATCACATGTTTTAGAAAGTAGACATTCTATTTTTAAAAAAATAAACACAGTCAGTATGTGTCTCCCATTCCTCAGTTATATAAAAAAATCATCTGACACATTATTTTCAGCAGTGCATTGGGCTAGTTCAAAATGCCAAGCCATATAAATTGAATCTGCTAGTGCTAATTAAAATTTGCATAATCAGTGTCTGGCCAATCACTTGGTGATGCTCAGTGAGTAGATCTCTTAAGAAGAAATGAAAGATCCAAGTTAAAAACCCCTTTCTCTTTTCCAAGCCTACTCTTACAAGAAAATGCCATATTCATTTATTTTGAAAAGCAGTTTGCACAACTTCCCGTTTTCCTTCCATCCTGTATAAAGTCTTGAAGTGGTTCAAAATGATCTTGAGATGCTTCTGCGAAAAAAAAAAAATGAAAAATACCCACAAGAGATGGTAGGCCTGTGGAAAGAGATCCCTGGGAATTGGCTGTTACCTTTGGAACTGCTATCACTTGGAAAGATCCTGTTGTTGCTCTCAATGTCATTTTGATTTGTGTTTTTCTTTTTCTTCTTAAGGTGCAGAAACATTATGAAAGTGGCTCAAGCCAAAATTGAAATGATAAAGCCAGATGAAGTTAGCATGGAAGATTATGAGGCTAGTACTTTTATGTTTGAAATATTTTCTCTTACATATTGTGAAGTAAATATATTGTCTTTTAAAATCCATTGGACAATGCAAATTATCAGATGCTGCAAATTTTCAGAGGAATTTGTTTCTTCCTGAAACTCTACCATTTCAGTTTAATTGCTTGGAAACAGCTTCATGCAATAGGTAGTGACAGCACAGCAGTAGAAAAAGTAGAAAAGTGGAACTCAAAGTAGGGCAGGGTATACTGAACAATCCAAGAAATACTGCATTTCAGAATTATAGTAGTTTTCTTATTTACGTGACTGCAGTTGGCATATGCATAGCTATTAGGAACTTGCACTGTGATAGGACTAAACTTTTATTTTTCAATATTTTTTCACAAAAATGATCACTTTTTTCTTTTACATAAAGTGGTGGCACCAAGAATACAGAAATTTCAGGGAGACAACTGTGTATCTCATGGTGGGATTAGAACTGTTTCAAAAGAAGAAGTAAGTAATCCACAGGCTATCTGTTAAGATCATCTTAAAACTCCTGCTGAATATTTGAAATATAATTCTTGTGTATACAGTATACATAGACAACAGGGGGTAATCTGTGATGAAGGCATGAGTAAGGGGAGGGAGTCTGGAAGGGACATTATGAAATCTCTGCTTTTTTGTACAGACTACAATACTATTTCCTTAGAAAGGTGGTTGATAATTTCAAAATATTAATGAGTTTGTATTTTAGATACATTGTATAAAAATTGCTGAATAACTGAAACCATATTATTGTAGCTTTTTTATTAATGGTAGAAGGATGAAGGGATGGAAGGGATAGCTTGAGAGCTAGCCCTGCACTTGCAGGTCTTGAAGCATCTTCTATAGCCAGAAAGCTCTGAGCAGGTACAGAAGGTGCCCTGTCACATCATGCCCCCCTGCAATAGATAACCAAGAGCTTACAAGCAGAATTCATTAGAAATAGGCCTTGCATATAAGCAGTCTTCATGAAAGTTACTGTTCTCCTTTTGTTAGTCCTCTCACTGGTGTTATATTTTGGTAGAGACCAAAATTATCATCTTGTCTTTTATTACCTTAGGAGGGGGGAAAAGTAAGCTTTCATATAGAATTGCACTATTATTATACTGGGCTGTTTGTCTGAGGGCAAATTTCTTTGTCAATTCCTGCAACTTTCTTATTTATTTTTTATTATTTATTTAGGGAACTGCTATGCCGCCCCATTCGCCAAAGCCTCGGGGCGGCTCACAAACATAAATAATTAACATCATATAAAACAATATAATCTAACAGTATAAATTAAGTCTCCCTGGCCAAAGAATAAAATAAATAAATAATATTAACAATTAAAATAATGTTTGAATAAAAAGGTCTTAGCCTGGCACCGAAAAACAAATAATGACGGCACCAGGCAGACCTCTCTGGGGAGCATATTCCATAGATTGGGCGCCACCGCAGAGAAAGCCCTGCTCCGAGTACTTACCCTCCTAATTTCCTTCACGGAGGGTTCCCGGAGAAGGGCCTCTCCCGCTGATCTCAAGGGGCGGGCAGGCGGGCATATATGGACGTAAGCGCTCCTTCAGGTAACCAGGACCCAAGCCGTTAAGGGCTTTATAGGTCATCACCAACACCTTGAATTGGGCCCTGACTTCAATTCTTATAAAGGTGGCACTTGTAAAACACAAGGGTTTAGTTTCAGTTCCATCTAAAACCATTGTTGCTACTTGGATACTTAATGGTGGACTTTTCCTTCTTGATACCATATGTTAATCACTACAGGGTGGACTGTAATTTGACTTTAGCAAATTAGCACTTTGAAAAATAATTTGTTTCATTAATACTTGTTCCAGTTTTAAAGAAGCCTTGCTGTATCTTATCTCTGCTTATCATAAGAACAAAGAGCTCTCATCAAAAGGCTTATATAGAGGGCATGATGAAGAATTGATGTCCCATTATAGAAGAGAATGTTTGCTAGTAAGTACAATCCATAAAACTCCTTTCTAAAACTGCCAGCATGTTTGCAGTGTGATTCAAATAGTGTATAATATTGCAGTTTGAGTAAAATCTTAATTTACTTAAAAGTGCATGTTATCTTAATTCTACCATACCATTTATTTTCAAGTCTAAAAAACTAGGAATAGCTAGGAATTGTTTCACTCTTACAAGTAGTTCCAGTGTATCATATTCAGCCTGTGCTGCTTATTTCTTAAAAAGCATGTGGATTCCATTCACAGTGTTTGAGCAGCTTTGGTGCTATATGGCTCAACAAAACTAACAGTACACAAGGAACAGATACAAATGAGTTATGATACTGACAAAGGACAGCTATAGTATGAGATGAAATAACATGCACATGGTAGGCATGTCATGAGGGGAGCCAGCTGGAGCCAGGGGTAAGACTAGATAGCCCAGGAGGGCCTTTCTGACTTACTCTGTTTTTATCTTTCTAACCTATAGCAAGTATTTGAAAAGGGTAAGAACTTAGTTTGAAGATAGGTGAGAGAATTTACAGCCACTTCACTTTGTTACCTGACAGTGCTTTCTGAGTAAAGCTGTACTTAAGCATTATTCACTAGCACGCTTAAAGCAATTGCTGTCCAGACAGCCTTAGTGCCTTAGTTGCAATTAGGCTGGCCATATGCAAAACTGGCCATGGCTCCTTCACCTTTAATATCAATGTAGAAAAGAAAATTTCAGCAGGTGTAGTTTGCACAATAAGGTCCATCTGCTGAAATTTCCTCTTTTTTATAGCTATCAGAGATTTAAGAATTGTATCCTGTTCTGTATATGGCCACTGTACTTGAGATATTAAGTCAATAAAAATGCTTTCAGATAAGCATCCAGTTAGGCCACAGAAAATGCCCTGATTATGTTTGATGCCCCTAATTCTCAGGTGTTTGGACAAATAGCTTGTACTTTAAGAAAAACTGAATATATTTGTTAGACATGGTGTAATGTGAATGCTATTTTTTTTAAAAAATCTCTTAATGTTGCATGAAGATGTTAAATGAGTGTGCTGCGACCCTGTTTGAATCTGGAGATGATGAAGAAGTCAATAAAGGGCTGGAAATCATGAATGAGCTAATTGTCCCATGTCTACCATTGTTGTTGGTGGATGAAACTGAGGAAAAAGATATTGTTGCTGTAGAAGATATGAGAAACAGATGGTGTTCCTATCTGGGACAAGAAATGGAGCGTAAGTTATTTTTAAATATACTCTTTCTCTCTAATGATTTAAAACAGGAAGTCGGTTTTAAGTGGCATTTCCTGTATTTTCATGTATCACTGAAATGCAAAGTATGAGGAGTTGTCCACTTCATGTACTAATGGCCAGTACATGGGGCAATTGGAGATCAACTGTTGGAATCAATTAATACATAAACACATTTTGTGACATAATGTTTTAAAAATCTCCTGGACAGAACATTCATAATCATAAGAGCAATGCATGTTGGTTGATTTTAACACCATTGTCATTAATTCCTCTGTGAAATAGCTGTTACGTGCAGTCATCACTTTTCCCCTTTGTGTATGGCCGTGTTAACTACATTTGAATCTACTCTCCAGCTGTGTGTTCAGTATTGCAGGCCAATGCCTGTATTATCTATCTTGTACTACTTTTATAAAAGCTTTCTGAAGTTTATGATGTGTAACAATAGCTTGCCCTTCCCTGTTGGAGGCTGGGTGTGAATGTGCAACCACAGGCATGAAACCTATCACATGGTTCTTTACAACCCAGTCACCATCCCTTCCTCCCAAAGGGGTTTTCTCTAAATAGGTAATGTTATACCAGTCCCCCACTGAAACCATGCAGGTTGGTGACCATCACTACATCTTGGCTTGGGAAGTCCATAGTTTAACTATGCACTCTGAGAAATATTACTTTTTATCCATGCTGAAGCTTTCAACCACTCCAGATGTTTTTCTCACATTCTAGTTTGTATCCCAGTACACTTTCTGCACACCATATATGATTTTAGGCAGTTGCCTCAAACCCCTAACTCCCCTTGCTCATTCTTTTCTTAAGCCAAAAAGACCCAGTGTTTCAACTTTTCTTCACTGGGGAGTTGTTCAGCCCTGCTGTCTATTTAATTGCCCTTTCTGCACCTTTTCCAAGTCTGCAATATCAGAACTAAGCACAATATACTATATGTGGCCACACCATAAATTTACAGAAGAACATTGTAATAATAGGTTTTGTTTTGTCCCCCATTTCATTTCCTAATTGGAATTAATGTTTTTCACTGCAGCCACACATTGGGTCAACATTTTCATTGAGTTGTCCACTGCAAGCCCAAGTTTTCTTGTATGGTCAGCCACTGCAAACTCAGATTCATCAGCTGATAATGATCACTTCCATTCCTAATTATTTCCAATGTAATTGGCCCCCGTGCCACAAGTTTCCTTTTCTTTTATATCATCCACTGACTGCATATACAATGCATAAACCCAACTGATCAATTAAAAATAAATATTTTGTCTCATTTACAGCTAACTTGCAAGAAAAGCTAACGGATTTCCTGCCAAAATTGCTAGATTGTTCTACAGAAATTAAAGGTTTCAGTGACCCACCAAAGTTACCGTCTTATTCCACCCATGAACTGTGTGATCGATTTGCCCGAGTCATGTTGTCTCTCAGTCGAACTCCAGCTGATGGAAGATAAACTCGGAAGACCTTCCTTAAGCACACTGTATAAACTTTTTTTTAGTTCTTTAACCCTTGCCTTCCTGTCACAGGGGTTTGCTTGTTGCTGCTATAGTTTTTAACTCTTTCATTTTAATAACTGCAAGATAAGAAAGAGGACTGTACAGACAATAACCAGACTGCAGGCAATAATGCTGAGAATCGCATGGCACTCAGTTTTGTTATCAGCCAGAACTCATGCAACATTACGAGTCTGATTTATTATGGCAAAGCTGCTTTTTGCCACTTACCTGTTACAGTATTACTTTGACTTCATCTTAATATCATTTGCTTCATCATCAACAGCTTTCTGTTCAGTCTGGGCCATTCTTTGACTGCATCAATTTTAAAGTGACCATTGTAAAATACATGGTACCTGGTAGCTTGTAAATTACATCAAAGAATAAAAAAGGTTTTATTTATGGCTACTTTTGTTGCAAATAAACTGTATATTTGTGAATAATAGAGGTATATTTGTGTATTATAGATATATATTTTAGATAGGAAGATACAGCATAGTGAGATACTGTGGAAAGAGGAGGTGGGGTATAGTCTTGTTCTTTTGAGAATTAGGGATGTTTTTATGTATAGCTTGGAGTATGTTGACAAGTAGGAGGTTTCCTCAGACAATTGTGCTTCGACTAAACATACAATGTTTGCAGGCTCCTGAAATTTTCTGCTTAAGTCACACAAGCCTTTTCGCAATGATTGTTAAACAGTACAGCACCTGAAATTTATCTTGAAGTCATATGTGAGGCTTATGTTGACCACATGGCAGCTAATGCAGGCTAACAGATCAGAGTAATACTGGTTGACTCTGCCAGAGTGGTCACACCCATTGACTTGCCTGATCTGTGTTTAAAATGACAGTCTGAGTGTTGGGCCATTGGGTATGTAGACATGTATATTAGGGCTTAATACACATGGCCTCCAGACCTTAATTCATGAGTAGTCCCATAGCATGATAGATCCATATTGGAATTTTGCCAGTGCACAGATACCAGAGAGGCTCTATGCCCCCAGTATAAGGCTATGGTGAAGGTAAAACCTATTTTCTGGAATAAAACTTAATTTGCGCCCTGTAATCACAGAAGAGCACCTAAAAGGTATTTTACATGCCTTCTCACTTGTTTCTAGTTATACCTGGCTAACTATAAGTTTTATTTAAAAACAAAATGTTAATTGAATAGAGATTTTGTAAGTTCTTGAATTTACAGATTCCAACAATATAGTAAAATACTACTTTTCCTATTTAAGTCATGTTTTAAATTTGTGAACTATACACCAGTCATTACTACAGTTGCTCCCAATTATTTATATGCAAAGAAGTTTCTATTAACCATTACACTTAAACACTTCAAAAATGTTTTCTATCTGTCATTAATGTTTTGTTTGATGTTAATCAAGAAATATGGTTTCAGTCAGAAAAGGACTGTGATTTTTAATTTAGAAATAACACATTAACATTAGCATATACAAAGATATGCATTTCATTAGCAGAATTTTTTACCACCACCCCCATTGCCTTTTCCACATTTTGTGTTACATAGATTGAATTGACATTGTTACCATTTGATATACACAAGTTATTCTGCACTGTGAGGATGGAAAATATATTTATTATGGCACAAAAGTTAAGGAAACAAAAACAAACTGGCACTTTTCATAAGTATTCATCCCCAAGTAAAGAAGCATTTGTGGCAGCATTTACAGCTGCTAGCCTTCTCAGATAAGTCTCTGTCAGCTTTGTGCATATGGATTTTGCAGTGTTTTTCTATTCTTTCTGGCCGAACTCCATCTCTGCCAGTGGAATGGGGACCATTGGTGAATAGCTACTTTAAAGTTGTGCCACAGATCCTCACATGGATTGATACCTGGGCTTTCATTGAACCACTCTTAAGACATTCAGATTATTGCTTATGAACTGCTCTAGTGTTACTTTGACTGTGAGTTTACAGTCAATTGTCCAGCTAGAAGGTGAACCTCTGGACCAGTCCCAGGTGCCTTGAAGACTGAAACACCTTTTCTCTGGAATTGCCCTGTATTTGACTTCATCCATCTTGCTGTCAGTCTCTATTGAGGAAAAGTTTACTCGCAAAATGGTAGTGTATAACCATGCTTCACTATGTAATCAGATTGCACATACATAAAGGAACTCTGGATTTGTAATCAGCTCTTATATTTAACACTTACCCACACACATGTATACTTGAGGACTTATCCTGCTTTTCCGTTAGCCTCATAAGTTTTATTGTCAGACCAAAGACTAGACACTTGAGAATTCATTCTAATACACTTATCTCTATGTATAGGTCTACTGGGTTAAGGTGAAGAATTATTTTGTACAGGGTATTCTAGCCACATGTGGCAATAAAAGTAGAAGCATGCAGGCATTTGTTTCATTTATATCATGCCTTTTCCATAATGGAACTCAAGGCACAATACATAAGGTTCCTTGGATACATGTTTAGCTGTCCAGATGCTGACCTGCTTCATTTTGGCAAGTTTGCCACATCCATTTTTTTTTTCAGTTTAAAGCAACTATTTCATTCTCTCAAGTTTATATTTCAGCTCACAAAAGTAGTTTCTCAGTTGTTCCCATGGCCCACCAGCAGTTCCTATCTTAAAACAATACGGCAAACCATCTTCTCTCACAGATTTTTGATAACGCAAAATAGCTTTTAGACATTGGGCTGGGATTGCTTCTGCACTAGCCTTCTTTTCTAGAATTACAATTCTTCATTGGCAAACACTTGCTAGGGAGAATGCAGATGATGTATTAATAATTCACTATTTTATTTATTGAATTTATATACTGCCCCAATAGCCCAAAGGGCTCTTTGGGTGGTTTACAAATGTAAATCCCCTGTTTGTTTATACAGCAATAACCCAGATAAAACCCAACAACTAAAAACACAAAAAATAGCCTATTGCTTGTAATTAGCTTGTTTTGATGAGCCTTTGTGGTCTCTGTTTTTGCAGAAATCAGTGGGGAGATTATTGTGATTTATGTTTTTCTCTCATAAAATATTTCTTTTTTATATATAGAAAATCACTGGGAGGAAACTCAGTAGTTTGCTGAATGGGAGCTACTTCTGACTAAACAGTATAGTGTCTTGGGTAGCAAGAGAGTATTGCCAAACAGTCTAGTACAATTTTGTGCAAGATGGAACCTCTGCTTTCAGTCCTACATGCAGGTGATTGTGTGAAACTCTGGAGAGCTGTAATTGAAAACAACCTAAATATTCCACAGCTACTCATACAACTCTCAAACTGGATCTTCAGTCATTTCTGATGGAAAAAAGTCAAAACCTTAGATGCATAAGAACTTGCCTTAGCTCCATTTAGGTATTGTCTGGTGGTTGTCTGCTAAGATTACAGGAAGGTGTCTTTCCCAAGGACTGAACCTGGCACAATCTGTCTGCATAGCCTATGCTGCTAACACTGAGCTGTGACTTGTCTCAGCCCACCATCTACTCAAAAGACCTTCTCTAATAAGGGGGGAGATCCAACTAGCTGCTAGTTATTAAAACAATGTGGCAAGCAATCATGAAAAAGAATGGATATATAGATGGGTAAATGAAATGCAGGCTGACATTCATAGCCTCAATTTGCCTTTCACACCAAACTAATTTTCTCAAATTTAAAAAATGAGCAAGAAAAAAGTAAAGACAGCAGTGGGCATTATTACCAAAGTGCATAATGATTGTTTTCCCTTCTGAGGACTGCATTGGGAAATGATCTATAATATTTACTGACTAAGCAGAAGCCTTGTAGAACTACTTCAGCAAGAGCTGAGTTATGTAGAATTATAGTTCAGTTCCAGGTGAAGAAAAAATAGGAAGCACCAATGGGAGTACCTCTGCTGCTTTCATTTCTCTATCCCTCTGCCCCAAGGTTAGTCTTGGAAAGCCTCAATCGTAATGAGAGCAAGGGTGGGTACAGCCAGACTGAATGTAGAGACCAGTTTGAAGTGGGTTCAGCATATTGAATAAATATGTCTGTTTGATCTTCACTGTTTTGCCCTAACTGGCTCTTTAAGGAGGTTGGGATGACATTATCTCAAAACTTGGATTACTTCCTGAGCAAGGTCTGCCATCCCCCTTGCTTTCCTGTTGCTAATCAGGTGGAAACCTGATAAGCCCCTACACATTCCACCTGGTTAGCATTTGGCAAAGAAGTGCCTGGCTTCCTCACTTTGTGATGACTTTGACCTTTAAATTACATTCAACTCTGTGTTCAGTGTTAAAGTACAACATTACAGCAAGCCAGACTGTTTTCATTTCTGTGTTGGTCAATCCAAAAGATGCCTTTTTTAGATGCTTAAATAACATTGATTTAAGCATCACTGAACTGTGTGGCTTGTTTTTGTCAAGTTTACCTATCCATTGACAATCGAACAATTGAAGTCCCATTGGTTTTAGCAGTTATTAATAACTGGAGCAAGATTTGGGTTACAGTAAAGTTTCTTAACTTGGTGACTCCATATGCTGTAGACTATAAACGAATGTCCATGATGGCTGGAGTTGTTTCTTATTCTTACATTCATACCCTTCACTTTTTCTTTTGAAGAGCCCAAGGTGGCTTACATAGTTGTCCTTCATTTTTATCCTACCTGGTCCCTTTTAGGAAGGTCAGGCTAGAGTCAGTGACTTGCCCAAAATCATGCAGTGAGCTTCATGACCAAGTGGGGACAAAAACCTGCACCTCCCAATTTCTAGTGCAACAGTGCACCACACTGGCTGATAAGAATATCTGAAAAATACCAACATAAGGAAGAATGGTAACAATTCTACAGCATAGCAACTCTACTCGATAACTCATAAAAGACTGCTAGGGTGCTGTACAAGACTTTTTGCATATAACGGTTTATATTGAGACAATACAAAGAGTCTCATATAGGTGTACACAAATCATGCTAAATTTATTTGTTGTTTTAGTCTTTATTTATTAAATGTATATCTCACCAAGGAACTCCTTGCAAGGAACTTTCCTTGCAAGGAACTCAAGGTGTCTTAATTCTCCAGAGTATTTGTGTTACAGTGACAACTGCTGAAAAAGAATCAGCATGTCTTCCACTGGGGTGGGGGGGGGGGGCAGCCTGTCTCACTGTTGGAGTTAGAACTGTTAGAGTTCTTTTAGACTATCAATAAATATGTAGATAAGGGTGACTACCTTCCCTTTAGTTCGATTTTCAAAAATCTTTTGACAAAGAACTTCATCAAACCTCCTGAGAAATCTGAACAGTCATGGAATAAAAGACAGTGTCCATTTATGGGCAAGTAACTGGTTGAAGAACAGAAGACAGAGTGAGAGGGATGCTACCAGTAGAGTCCTAGAGGGTTCTGTATTAGGACCAATGCTTTGCAACCTATTCATAACTGTTCTAGAATTAGGAGCAAGTAGCGAAGTGCCAAGTTTTCTGGTGACTCTGAAGTGTTTAGGATGATTAAAACCAAAGGGATTGCGAGGCACTCTAAAGGAGAAGCCAGTGGGCAAAATTTCAATGTGACTTAAAATCAGCAGAATTAGTGAGAAGCTAATTTCCATCAGCTCTGTCACCATAACTTTAATGCCTGAAATGTGAAGTAAATGGATTCCCCTCCCCTTTTCATCATTAGGCGGCACACTTGCACATGGTAATATCCTGAACTAGGTAGGCATATTGCCTCTGCTGTTTCTGTTCTACCAGTGGGACATACTACTAGCACTGAGAATCCAGAACTTCCTAAACAGAATGCTTCCTAAAGAGCAGAAACACTCATTTTCAGGACAAGACAAAATAGGGGTATCCCTCTTTTGCTAGCTCCCTGATTTGCCTTAGACAAGAAAAGTTTCAAGAAGCTAGCAGATCGTTAAGCAAATAGAAAGGAGCTGGAATACAAGCTTCTGGAATCTGTGCTTTGAGTAATGTTTCATTCTGGGAATGTTTGCAGGCAGCTTGCAGGTAGCTTGCAGGTTGTTGGGCTTAAAAACCAGTAAATCAGTCTACCAAATGAAATATGCTGGTTTCCTCAGCAAACAAGTCCAAATTACTTAGAAAAAGGTAACACTAATAATAACAGTCCAACAAAAAGTTCTATCTTACTTGCTAGGGAGTACTAGCTTGTTTCTAGCTCCTTTCCTAATTCATCTGACTCTGCAGGGCTCCGCAAGACCATTCAAAAGCCACAGACCATTTTCTATACAAAGTCTCCTTTACTGACTCAGAGTACAAATCACCCAGAATAAATCTCTAAGCATGCACAGAGCAGTT